TACCTCACTTCACAGTTTTAAACTTTCACTTACTCAACTGACTTTCTTGACCATGTTAGTACTTATGTTTGAGATGTTGACCCACTTGATAAAGATCGTGGTTAGGTGTTTGTCTTTGATACTGTATTACCGCACTTTACAGTTTTAAACTTTACCTCACTAAACTTGACTTTTCTGAAGCAGTTTTGTGCACTTTATTTTACCCCACTTTCTGTTTTATATTGAACCTTACAAAACCTTTTTGTACTTTACTGTATTTTATTGTCTTTTAGAAATTATTTCATTGCAAATTTAATTCCGACTGGAATCCACAGAGCGGGGAGAGGGGAAGAGAGCCAGTGTGTGAGAGAGGGGGAGAGAGAGCGAGTGTGTCCGAGAGGGGGAGAGAGAGAGAGCGAGTGTGTGAGAGAGAGGGGAGAGAAAGAGATGAAAAGGGATGAAAAGAGAAAGAGTTTTTGTTAGTAAGAAAGAATTATTTTTCACTTCTTTAAAATGTGTCGGCTCTGTGGCTAAGTCGATGCGAACGCTTCGTAATGCCGGGGTGCCGCGGTTCGATCCCAGCTTCGGGCCATGCGCCTTGCATTGGTTTCGACAGTGGTATCAAGAAAGCCGACCGAGCAGGGAGCAATGGCAAACTACCGGACGTAAATTTGCCTAGAAAAACAATACAACTGCCAGGGGCTGTTAGGGTTGGTTCTGCAACGTCCTGTAAAGGTTACGCAACTAACCTTTAGAAATGTGGCAAGTTTTTTTTACTTTAGAGCTCTCTCTCTCTCTCTCTCTCTCTCTCTCTCTCTCTCTCTCTCTCTCTCTCTCTCTCTCTCTCTCTCTTTCTCTCTATCTCTTTTTCTCTCTTCTCTTTCTCCCTCTGTGTGTGTACGGTCTGTTGGGTAGTGATTAAAAGATACAAAAAAGAAGAGGAGCAAAGACAGGTGAAAACATATGGGAAGACAATGGTAGTGGGATGAAATAGGGCTCGGATATACCAAAGGATAGGATTTGAGATGGTTAGGGGCCTATACCCCACTGATGATAGAGGGCGAAAGAGAATAGATAAGGTCTTTGTTACGCCTTGAGAATGGTATCTGGTCGACTTTGGCAGGATGTGACTATATGAATAATTAGGACTTAAATAATAATGGCGATAATAATAATAATAATAATAATAATAATAATAATAATAATAATAATAATAATAATAATAATAATAATAATAATAATAATAATAACAAGAATAATAATAATAATAAAGTAAAGGACATTTTTCGACGCCTTTAGGTGTATTGGGCATATACGGATAGACCTATATTTTATAGGCCAGCCGGCACTCTGTGGGTGATGTGATTAACATGGTGCCACCGCATTTACTTCTCAGGACTTTACCTGTACCCATTTGAGGCTGGGTCGACCTGGGAGCCAAGGTGTTTTAGGAAAATAAAGTTCCGGCTCTGTTCGGAATGGAATCCACGATTTACGGATCCACAGGCGAACGAACGTCTGGGCGCTGCATCAGTAATGGTATTTTAATAGCGCGTAGTAATAATAATAAGTTTGTAAGTAAACGTCCCTTTACCACGCCTTTAGGCTAGTTGTATATTTTATATAAGACCAATCCGCACAAGTTGAGTGATGTGGTCAGCATCCCACCTGTCGCCTTTACTTCCCGGTACCGCACCCGGTATCCATTCAAGGTGAGTGATCGACCTGTGAATCAAGGTCATTTTTTGGGGAAAAGTGCGGTTCCGCCAGGAAGCGAACCCACGACCTTCCGATCCGCACTCCAGCGTCTAGCCGCTACTCCAGTAATAATAATAATAATAATAATAATAATAATAATAATAATAATAATAATAATAATAATAATAATAATAAAAATAAAATAATAATAATAATAATAATAATAATAATAATAATAATAATAATAATAATAATAATGCAGTTCCTGTGGTATTGCGGTCAAGCTTTTTTGCCTTAAACTCTCAAGGTCGCGACTATTTTTTGGGTTCCCCAGGTTCATTAGGCCATCTTTGCTGGAATATTTGGGGAAAGAAGCTGGATCTATGGAGTTCAAGCTTTGTTCGACGCTCTTAACATTCCGACAGCTGGCTTGTTGAAAGAGACCTAACTATATGGGATTTAACACGGCGCCATGAAGTCGAAACTCGTTCATTTAAACACGAAAACTATGTCCATGTTTATTGACGCTGTCTACGGTTCGGTGGCTTAATGAATGCGTTCGACAGTTATACAAAGTACCGGGGCTTGATTTCAGTGGTAAGGCGGGATCAGTTCACACGTGTAAGCGTCAGCAATGAACGATCGTATCACGTGATATTTTCCTCGTCGCTTCACCTGTTGAGAGTGAGCGTGCGCAGCTAGCAGTATGGTGCAAACGAGTAATTGGTAGCTTTCACACTGTGCAGTTTCTGCATACGTGTCGTTAGTGAGCTTTCTTTTCCTTATGTAAACCGAGTGGAGTATTTGTAATAAATAGTAATCATAAATAGTTTTTTTTAATGCATTTTGTTTAGCAATGGAGATTGTAAGCGATGATTACAATTGTTAAATGCCCGCCTCGCCAATGCTTGATTTCCGAGTGGGAAAGTTTTAATGTTCTCTTGGCATTCAGACGGTGGTACAAGAATGGTGCTGTTGAAGAGATTCGGGCCTAACCAATCTGATATTCACAAAGACACTGTTGGATGCTTAGTAGTCAATCTCCACTGTGGAATCGACATCATCATCAATCAACAGTTCCTTTACAGAACATCGCTCTCTTTACGGCACACTTGAAGGTCTCTCCTTCTCTAGCCAATGTCAACCCTATGTGCGTTCAAAGCCAATGCATCTTTAGTCTCTTGTACCCACCACCGCGGAGGTCTTCATCTGCCTCTTTCCCACAAACTTTACCCTCTATCACAGTTCTCTCTAGGCCTCAATGACGCTTAATGTTGGTTAGAATACCCGAGTTTTCAGAAGAGGATGTTGTTTATGAACCAGTTCTCCTGGGTGATCAGATAATGAAGGATGTCTGTGTTCTTCGTCGTCTTCATCTTCGTCTTGATTCATGGTTTTCAAAGAAATTGTCTGTAGCATTTTAGTTCAAAAGCTCTGGGTTGTTTTTTTTTTTTCTTCAAAGATTTAAGAGTCTACGACTCGCATACGGAGACGATATACAACTTGTAGACGTGTTTTTCCTCTGCCACACCTGACTGTTACGACTCCGTCATTCTGGAATATATTTTTATACTGTGTTATACTAAGGCAAAGGAATGACAGTTAATAGCCTTAACGAGTGCGACTAGCAAGATATTTTTATTTTATTATTTATTTAATTTTTTAAAAAAAGGTAAAGATTCTTTTTTACGCCTTTTGATAATTTAGTCAGCATTACGCCAGTCGTCTTTATTTCCCCCAGGACATCCACCCTGGTACCCATTTCAGGCTGGGTCGACTTGCGACGCCAGATACAACGATAAAAATCCACGCAGCCAGCAGTCGATTTCGATCACAGTACGTTGGAATTACGAGTCGGACTCACAACGCACAGTTAGAAAACCTCTCGCACTATAAACAACTGAAATATCATTTTCATTCTCACCAGCCACAAACGTGTACTGTTAAAAATCACACCGGAAGAGAGACTGACCCGTGAGCATGTACTCCCACCACAAGGACGAAGAGCGAGCACTGATGCGTGGCTCACCGCGAGACAGCGCTCAGCGTGACCCCAACAAATCTATACATGTCACTCCAAACGTTGATTCTGCTGGTGAGTGACCTAATATTGTTTTTTGTTTTTGTTTGTCTAATACTGGCAGAAAGGCATTTGAATATATAGATAGATAATTCTTCTTCCTCTTCTTCTTCTTCTTCCTCTTCGTCTTCTTCTTCCTTCTCCTCATCCCCTTCCTCCTCCTCTTCTTCTTTTTGTTCATCCTTTCTTCTGTCCCTCCTGTCCCCTTCTGTCTTTCTTTCTTTCTTTCTTTCTTTCTTTCTTTTTCTTTCTTTCTTTTCTTTCTTTCTTTTTTTTTTCTTCATTTTTCTGTTTTTTCCATATTTATTTTTCTTCTTTCTTTCTGGGCGAGAATTGTCGTGAATCAGCTGTTAGACTTTAATCAGATGATCTGATTATATATACAGATGGTTCGGTTTTTAAGGGGAAGAGATGTGCCTGGGGGTTCGTAGCGAAAGCAAATGGAAAATGTTAAGTGCAGGACATCCTAGCATACGATACCACCACGTCTAGCAAGAGAATGGAGATGGAGGCGGTAACTGCAGCTTTCCAGTGGCTAGAAAACATTTCATAATTGTAACAGACTCTGAAAGCGTGCTAAGACTTTGGATCTCTTCTTAAGACAATGCTGGCATGGTGGGAATAAACAAGCAGACATCGGAGCTGGATGTGTACCACTGGGTGGTGAATTGATACATTACCAGCCAGATGTGGACAAGGCCCTTTGGAAACAAGCAACAAGATTATTATGGCCTGGAGATAATGAAGCACCTGGGTGTAACCGGGGAGCGATGATCCCCATCGATATATCCCTATACAGTTTAACTACTAGAGACAAATTCAAGGCTAACTACAGAAAACAAACCACCATTATCAACGTCAACGAGCCAGACTAACCGTTCATCCCCGAGCAGTTTCTCGAACACGTGCTGCTGAGCATATGTACCGTGCATCAGCCGCTGGCTGAGCAAGGTCTCCTGCCTCTAAAGCGCCTGCAGGTTCAGTCTAGAAGCCAAAATGAGGGCCGTTTTTTCATGTCCGGTTCTTTATGCACAGTGCCCAGGAATTTTTCACAAGTAAACTCGAACCAAATTAAAATATCCGTCGTACAAATCAAATTAAATTCGTCGTAGCCCGTTTACAGATGATTAGATGAAAGGTTAATGAATGGGACAAATGGGTCCAGGGAAAAGGGAACGAAACAACTATATTTTACTGCAAACCTAAGATCGCTATTGTTTTGCCTTTCAGCCGCCTCACATAGGTATGAGACCTTCATCGGCCTTCGTCTGCCAAAACGTCCCCGCAGACCGAGGCCTCACAAATCCAAACGGCACCACGGCAGTGACAGGAGCTCAGGACCCGGCCAGACACCCTCTCCTACAGATACAGTTCCCCCAGGTACGCTGATGCTGTGTTTCTCATTGTTAGGTTTTGCTTTTCAATGTTTTCTGAAAGAGGAGATAGTTCACACTTTGGGGGTATTATGAGAAAGGAACTAGAACTGGGATTTCCCGTGTGGGCTCCGGGGAAAAAGGGGGGGCGCTGGTAGGGAGAGAGATAGATCATGACCTTAACAATTACGCCATATGAAGCGACTAATTGAGGATGTCTGATGGATCTGCATGAGAGGTGGGGAATGAACCGTCTGCATGTAAACAAATTGGCCGAATGTGTACAACGAATGTGCATGCAACACTCAAGCTCAGGAACAAGACTCAAGTTCAAAAATAATCGAACAGCCAGAGCTTTATCTGGAGTTTACAGCCGGTAAACCCTAAGAATACAAATAAGACTATACCATGTGTGGGGGAAAGATGGCGGAGATGAGAGGTAGGGAGAGATCCAGCAAAAAAGTGCTGAAGTTTCCCATCATGGCATTGAGGAACATCTGTATCAGACATTATTTTTGTTTTGTTCTCCGAAGATGGTTTCAAATTAGATCTAATTAGAATTTTTTAGACGTGTTCATTTATTAACGTTTTGTTTGTTTGTATACTCATATGTACAAATTTACCAGCATTTTAAATACTGCATGTTTTACAGATATTTGCTTTGAACTCCCCTGACATATTGTACATACTGTTTTTTCTGTGTTCCCAGTTCGTTCTTCATAGCTGTCCATACAGTCATGGTATAGTGTAACTTTTAACAATGTACGTGTTATATAACGGTGACAGAAAAGTCTTGCAAAAGTGATAAATGTCATTTAGCATTTGTTAAAGCTGGCGAACGGAAGAGGGACGAAGATTCAACTGCGGGGAAAAAAATATGACAACTTTAATAAAAGTCCATTAGGATTAGTTGGGACTGTTGAATTGAAAAGGCACATTATTTATGAAATATTTCAACTCATGTACGATTCCTGTTCAACCTACATGAGTTGTAAGTGAAATTTATAGAGTTTTTTCAACTTCGAAATTGGATATTAACGCTTATCTTAGGTTGATCCAGCAGCTACAAACGTATTGGTGTTACCTTTTCTTAGGAGGGAACAAAGCAGTCCCGGGGGGGGGGGGGGGGGGGGATGATGATGACTGGGCAGCACCTAGTCTTAATAAAACTGCCCAGGATTTGTGCAATGCATGAGCGGTTTGCTTGTCAAAATGTCCATCAGTTGGAAAACATTGCACAATCAATAGAATACATACTATCGTCTAAGCAGAGTATCCTTGATCACTGGTGGACATGGGAGAGCAGTCTGGAGTAGCCAGATATGAATATTTCACCAAGGGCACAAGGCGTCTGATTTAACAACACAGACCGGATGTGATCAGTCGTGTCACTGTTGTGGGGCTACTCAGTGGAAGATCAGAGCACCTATGGATCTTTTCAGAGTGCTGCCATGATAGTCCTAACTAATCACTAATGGCACTATCGTCTGAAAAGACGGAAAGGTTCCAGTCAGTCATTACAGAAGAACACACCAGATAATCGGATCATACAGATAGTTTACGTGCATCTTCATCCTCTGTCGGAGTTAACAGATTTAAAAAATGTCAAAATCAGCTGCAGTCAGGACATAAATGATAGACATACTGGGGTGGCTTCAACGAAAGACGATGCCCTGGATCTCACTGCATGTAGGGAGGGAATTATCAAGGGTATATGGACACAGGAGTAAGAGACTGCACAGGTCAAGAGTTGAGCGTCTGAGAAGAAATACGTCAGAGACATGTAATGGCAACAGTAGTCCTGAAATCCCATATACTTATTGTGGACGATGTTTTCGAGCGTGAGCTGGGCTAGCTAGTTACACTCGCCATGGCCATGGGCTGCTATTTCCATGCTTCTTTAAAGCAGATGGAGCACTGTTGTCTGGACAGATGGACAGGGGCCAGTAATGGCAACAATCTTCATCGCAAAGTGGACATCAACTCTTTCAGTCTCGAGCAATTATCACTTTAACCTCTCCTGTCCCAAACAGTTGAGCTTACAGGAAATAAATACATAAATCGAAGAAGTTCGACAGAGATATGATGGAACAGAAATGGTTAAACTGGTAATGTTGATACAACATTTTAATAAAACCTGCAACGGAATCAGTAGAGAAAGAGGATAATTATGGCATGGAGAGAATAAAGCACCTGGGTGTAACCAGAGGGTCTGGCCGGCTCACTACACTCAGAGGAAAGGCAAGACCGACATATAACCAGATTGTGACTGGTACCATCAGTATTGAAACTTTGCACTGGGCACTGGCTGCTAAAGATGAGGACGGAGCATGCATGGGAATGCCCCAAGTGCTGTGATGTCAATCCCTGACTCAACTCAACTCAACTCTGTGATAGAAGACAGCAAGAACACTACATTACCCCAGAATACCAAGAAATATATGATGAGTTAGTTTCTTGGTACTAAAAGAGTTAAGTCGATGTGGATGCAAGAGGAAAACGTACATAATTCTCTACCCGCCCGACCAGCAGAGGACACCAGGGTAGTGCTTATGGTTGCCCTAATTATAACTTCGTTAGAAGGTTGAACCGGGAGTTTGGGATACAGGTCTTCGGTTTCTGGAGTGTCAAGCCTTAAGCGAGATTAGACTGGAGAGGAACAAATCAGTCAGTCAAAAGGACAGTAATGCTTTAATCTCTGAAGAATATGGTTAAAGCTGTATTAACTGTGGGGTGGAATTCAAGGGAAAACCGGTATATCTGTTTGCCATGAATACTTTTATAGGCTATTATAAAGCTGCATTTATGGTGGACTGTAACAACGCTATATTTATGATGGTTTAGAATGCAAGGGAAAACCAGCTTATTTGTTTCCCACGAATAGAATTATAGGCTGTTACAGAGCTGCTCAGTGATGACGATCTGTTCACTAACTAACATAAATGGCACAACAGAGGAGTCCGCCTATATCGATAGATACTACATCTCCAAATTTGTTTCCCGCACTATGGTGTGTTTCCCATCCACTCGCGCTTGGGAACAAATTAAAGTAATAAAGTAAAGGACCCTTTTACGCCTTTTGAGGCATAATGCTGGGGATTTTTTCTGTCGGGGGCAAAATAAAATCCTCACATGCACAGTCGTGGTGACAGCACAAGCCATGCAGCCGTAAATCCTCAGGTTCAAAGACCCCTCTGCCTTCACCGCAAAAATGATATAATAAAGGCAGAAATTGGCAGTTAAGATAGAAGCATCATGGATAGAGTTACAGACCTACATTCTGTATTAACTAATGAGCTTTGAAGTGGTCAATATCGCGCCAGATGCTTTTACTTCCATATACATTTTCTGGTACCCATATCAGGAGGAGTTGACCTGTAAGTCAAGGTCAATGTTGAAACAAAGAGCTTAGTGTGGTTTTGAACCTTCACGAATCTACTCGCTATTCTGTGGCAGCTCTCATAGGTTACATGTTGCATGTTAAATGTTGTTTTGGTTTTCTTTTGCATTTATTTAATACTACCGTAAATAATTATCCCACTAACAATTCCTCAATAGTTTTTCCCTTTACCCAGAATGTATTTATGTAACTTTGTTTTTGCTTGTTTGAACCAGCCCTCTGCAGCAGACGTGGAATCAGTAAGATACTTATTTTTCTTCTTCTTCTGCTTTCTGCTTTGCATTTATTATTGTTTTAGAACCTCTCCAGTTGACTGTGTGCACATAATTATATCCTGCATGTTGGGGGAACATACTTCTTGTTATGTTTTTTTTTTTATGTACATATAAAGTAAATGACACTTGTTACGCTATTGGTGGGTATGTGCTACGTGACTAACATTTCTATAGACCACTGTGTCAGCAATCGGTAGGTGAGACGGTCAAGATCACGCCAACCGCCTTTACTTCCCAGGACATTACCTGCTACTTATTTTAGGCTGGGTCGACGTGGGAGGCAAGAGCAGTTTCAAAAAAAAAAAAAAAATCTGACTAGATGCGGATTCAAACTCATTGACCTTAGGCTGGTAGTCAGCATTTAGCCGCTACGCTACCATGGTTGTAGGTAACATTAAAATTAATTAGACTGGTTTTAAAGAAATCTGCCATAAGGATTTGGAGAAAACAGTAACTGTGGTAGGATTCCTGGAAGAAGGAGAGCAGTAGGTCACCAGCATGGCGGTGGACACAGGATATCTGGGACATCTTATGGATACAAATCATCATCATAAGTTTTTGAGAGAAAACAATCACCACGTTCAACCAGCATCCTCGAAGGGGGAGCTTTAGGTTATAATTATGACTAGGTTATGTGTGCCATATAAAATGACTTAGCATTGCACACACAGAAAAGCACTGAAAATTACCCCTGCAGCGTTAATGCGTTTAAAGAAGACAGACTTTAAACATTATCCCGGCCGGCGATGAAGTCGTCTATCGGCGAGCCAATGGACTGTCGCAGATGCTGTACATAAAAGGTCACTAGGCTGGAATTTAAATCATCTGGCTTCTGGCCAGCCATCATGCCACAAGATGTTGATTCAACAAGTCGGGTATATAAAGTAAAGTCACGAGGCTGGCATTTTTTTAAATCATCTGGCTTTTTGGCCAGCCATCATGCCACAAGATGTTGATTCAACAAGTCGGGTATATAGGGCAGCAGTTAAAAGGTGTATTTCAGAACAGGTCACGCAAGGGCAGCACTTTACTGGATGAAGAAGTGACTATGCAATACATCTGTGTCATCTTTGAGAAAGGCAGCCCATAAGATCTAAATAAAACCGATACTGAAGTATGGACGAAGAAATTATGAAGCACGGCTCACTGAATGATCAAGAACTCCCAGTTTTCATGCTGCAGACTCAAGAAGTAAATCCTCGATAGGGTTATAGTTTTTGTTTTTCTGTCTGAAGCAAAAATAAAATCCTTACCTGCACTGTGCTTGGCGACAGCACTAGCCATGAGGCCGCCTACACCACAAAAATGGCAAATACAGGTGATAACTGCATAATTTTGGAGGCGTAGATAATTTATGTGAAAGATGCAAAATTGCGTTTTTTTTTGGCTGGTTGACTGGTTGGGTAGTTAGTTAGTAGTTAGTTAGTTATTTAGTTGGCTGGCTGGCTGGTTGACTGGTTGGGTAGTTAGTAGTTAGTTATTTAGTTGGCTGGCTGGCTGGTTGACTGATTGGGTAGTTAGTTAGTAGTTAGTTAGTTATTTAGTTGGCTGGCTGACTAGTTGACTGGGTGGGTAGTTAGTTAGTAGTTAGTTAGTTATTCATTTGGCTGGCTGACTAGTTGACTGGGTGGGTAGTTAGTAGCTAGTTAGTTAGTTAGTAGTTAGTTAGTTATTTAGTTGGCTGGTTGACTGGTTGAGCAGGTAGTTAGTTATTCATTTGGCTGGCTGGCTAGTTGACTCGTTGGGTAGTTAGTTAATAGTCAGTTAGTTATTTAGTTGGCTGGCTGGCTGGTTGACTGGTTGGCTAGTTAGTTTGTTAGTTATTTTGTTAGTTAGTTAGTTAGTTTGTTTGTTTGTTTGTTTGTTTGTTAGCTGGCTGGTTGGCTAGTTAGTTAGTTAGTTAGTTAGTTAGTTAGTTAGTTAGTTAGTTAGTTAGTTAGTTAGTTAGTTAGTTAGTTAGTTAGTTAGTTAGTTAGTTAGTTAGTTAGTTAGTTAGTTAGTTAGTTAGCTAGCACTTGTTTATTTAGTTAGCTGGCAGGCTGCTTAGTTGACTAGTTGGTTAGTTAGTTAGTTAGTTAACTGGTTGGCTGGCTGGCTGGTTGGTTGGTTGGTTAGCTAGTCGACGGATTATCCTAACTGCACATTGAACCATTAAATCATTCCTAATATCTAACACACATTATGGGTATTGATTGTTGCTAGAAAATGTTTTCACTCTGTTGTTTCTCCATATTAAATTAACATTGCTCATTAACCATATATATGTAACTGCTTTAAATTATATTGTTTTACCGTATGGTTAAAGCCACATTTGAATAGGCAAGTTTTTTTTTTTTTTTGTGTACTTTTTTGTGTTGAATTTCAGTCTATTGTGGTATTCACTAAATTTAATTTAACGATATAGCAAAAGCTAGATATATTTAAGAAGTTAAACATAGAAAAACTCAAGAAGAAGCAACGTTTTTTGAATGAACAATATACTGTCCTCACCACTCTTTTAACTTTTTGCGTCGAGGACATCTCGGAAATGTCAAGGAGGGGGGGGGGGTGCATATCATGGTTGTTCCTTCTGCCCCCCCCCTTTCCACCCGCCCCGCCCCAGCCCCCGTCCTCACGCTTTAGCATGACGAATTAGGCATGCTTTAAATTTATTATATTTGTATTCGGTACTTTCATTCTAGCTCATCCCAGCACGGGGAACCCGCGAATCCCCGGAAAAGTCCAGTATTATAGGGGGGTTAGGGTTAGCTGGTGCTTCATTTAAAACAGTAACACCCATATAATGTCGGACTTTCCATTTGATTCCGGGGTTCCCTGTGTGTGCAGTGAACTAAAATGAAAATACCCTTCTCTTCTGCCTTGTATCCACCACTGCAAGCCATCCAATTCTTTGGGAGTCGCCGTGGCGTTGGCGGCTATACGCCCTAATACGGATCGGATGGTCGTGGGTTCGCGCCCTGATGGAAACGGACTTTTTTTTTTTGACTCTCAGCCTTAAGTGGGTACCAGGGGCAGTCCTGGGAAGTACAGGCGGCAGGCGTGATTCTGACCACATCACCCACCAAGTGCCGATTGATCTATAACAAATATAGGTCTAGCCCTATGTTCCCAATACGCCTGAAGGCGAGGAAAAGAGTCCTTTACTTCACAGGACATTACTTGATACCCATTTTAGGCTGGGTTAAGATGGTTGTCAAGGTCATACTTAAAAAGAAAAACAGAAAAAATTTCGACTCGACATGATTTGGTTTTCAACCCTACGCTTGCAGGTGAGCGTTCAGCTGCTACGTTATAACGGCTTCCTACGATGTTCTCTCAAAAAATATGACGTCTACCCAGAAGGGACTGTAAAATATCTAGGGTATCATAGAAAATTACCTGCACTGTCGCTCTTCAAAATGAAATTGAAACGGCTTGCACAGCAATCTCACTGGACACTGGTCAGCATTGTCCAGCGCAGTAGTTTCACATAAATTATATGTCTGGACGCTAATGGTATCAGAGGGTCTGGCTGACGCTCAATACTTAAGGAAAAGGCGAGACGTCGATACAAGCAAACAGTTACTGGTGCCATCAGAACTAAAATTCTTCGCTTGCTGTTTAAGATGGGGACTGGGCACTTATGGGAGTGTCCCAAGTGCTGTGATGTGGATTCTTAATTCAACATTCACGATTTTTAATGGTAACGTTTTCAATACCGTGTATAAAATCTCAGTCGAAGTTAGCTTGTATTCATTACTGATTGTATTTATAACTTACTTACTTAGTCACTTCTCTTCTACCTTGGGGTGTAGATGTTTGCCAGAGAGATCGCCAGACGTCTCTATCAGCAGTTTTCTTTCTGGCTTTGTTCCATTCCAGTCCTCTGTCAGTTAGGGACTGTCGGATGTTGTCTTCCCAGCGCACCCTGGGTCGTCCTGGAGGTCTGGTTCCCTGGTTCTTAGCCTCCCATGCCTATCATGGTGGCCGATGTTCTCCCATTCTGCATACAGGTCCAAACCATCTTAACTGTGACTGATCCACTCGGATTTGTAAGGACTGGGTATCAAGATCTTGACGTATTGTCTGATTGCGGACTTTGTCTGATTGCGGACTGTATTTATAAATATATGATTAATATGAAGTGCCACACGTGTAGATGAAATGGCAAACTGATAAATTTAAAATAAATGCTTTTTATTATTTATTAGCAATGTTGTTCGTCCATCACGAGTGATGAAAACCACATTCATCCAAAGTAGTATATTGATCAATGATTATGAGTACGAAAGTGGCTCATTAGTCCAATATAAGCCTGGACAGTTCTTGAGCAGCGCGGACAACAGATGGAAACCGCAGTAAGTGTGGGCACCGCCTTCTCTAGATAAATAGAGAAGGCCGTGGTGTGGGATTAGCAGTACGATTTTTGTCTAGTCTGCCTCCGTTTCTCTGCCCCTACAACCTCCACTGCCTGGCAGGCTGATGCACCAAGCCTTGGCGATTTACGCCATCAAACAAGAACGGTCTTGCAGAGCAACCTCCCACGTCGCTGTGTTGATACCAAAAGCATTGAGAGCAGTCGTGTAAGTTTCCTTATAGCGCTTTTTCTGTCCTCCCTGGGACCTCTTTCCTTGCTGGAGCTCAATTGTTTTGTGCAATAGGTAAGGTTTGAGTCCCTCCCCGACCCTAGAAAATACGGCTGTGTGCACTTCAAAAAAGATGTTCAAACTTGTAATGTAGTAAACTGATCAACAACATAAAAGGTTGTTCAAACTCGCACTTTAGTAAACTTGTCCATGCTCCTACAATCTCTTAGAATTAATACGTAATCTATGAAAAATTAACAAAAGTAAATGAAAAAAGTGAAATTCAGTATTAAAATAGAAAGAAAGAAAAAAGAAAACTATACATCCTAGTTATACTACAGATAGGTTGAGTATGTTACCGCATTTTAACAATCACAAATATGACTTCTTCATTTTTCCAATACAGCAGCAACCCAGACGCCCAGTGAGCAAGTTCAAAGCTTGCTGAGTGAGACTGATGACTCCGGGGACAGCTCGCACGATGTTTTCTGTGAAATGGATGTTCTCTGCAAAGTGGGTGATAACTACCAGTGGAGGGAAACTGCAAGGTTGGTGCCTGAAGATGGTAGTAATTGAATGAAAGAATGAATGAATGAATGAATGAATGAATGAATGAATGAATGAATGAATGAATGAATGAATGAATGAATGAATGAATGAATGAATGAATGAATGAATGAATGAATGAATGAATGAATGAATGAATGAATGAATGAATGAATGAATGAACTAGGAATAGACATCTCTACACTCAGGACATTCTTGCAATGCTCTCTCCTTCTTCAGTAGCAAACATACAAACATACAACATACAAACATACAACATACAAACATACAGTTTCCATACTGATAAGGCAATCAAAACCTGATTAACAGGCTGCCTGTCCTCCATCCCTTTCCACTCACTCGTTCTTTAAAAATTGTTCAGATCTTCAAATTCCCTGATGAGTGACTTTCAACCCCACCAAGACTTCACAACGAATGACCAACACCTGGTGTCACAAAGTGCCACCATTCAGATCAGCATCACCGAGGCACAAGTCCCAGAAACCCTGTTTAACCGTTAAGTTATATCGGAACCACAGATAATAGCCGGGGTGTGGCTTTGAATTAACAAAATATTGCATTATATATTGCATTCTATATTGGGGCGTCGGCTCTGTGGCTAAGTCGATGCCAATGCCGGGTTCGATCCCAGCTGCGGTCCTTGCGCCTTGCATTGGTTTCGACAGTGGTATCAGGAGGCCGACCGTCCAGAAAGCAATGGCAAACTACCAGACGTAAATTTGCCTAGAGAAACCACACAACAGCCAGGGGCTGCTGGTGTTGGTTTTGCAATATCCTGTAAAGGATATGCAACTAACCTTAGATATTGGGGCAGAAATAATTCAGTCCTTCCAAGATGGTTTAGTCTGTCCGTTTATAGATCATATACTGTCCTTAAGACCCCAGGAAACCTTTCCCACATTTGTCTTATCATAAATTAGCTCACTGCTCAGAGGATTAGCAGTGTCTAATCTATCAGTCTGCTCATTGCCTCATACACCTGAATGTAATGGGCAGAAAATCCATGATCTCCTAATCTGTGAATGTTCTATTAAGGAATGAAGCCCCGCTTTAGCTTAGACAAGACTCACAGAAATATCAATGAATGGGGAACCTTTAAAATAGCATAATAAATAAATTTAAAATAACTGATCAGCAGGATTTCTGGTAGTAAAGTTGTTAGTGTGCTTTCCTACTGAGCTGGTGGTCCGGGTTCTTTTCTCAGAAGTGGCAGAAATGTCTTCCGACTACCATAGTTGGGGCATTTAGAGAGAACTGCAGACAACAGAGAGACAAAAACCACATGAAATAAATTAGTAAAATGGGAGAAAACTATGAGGAAACCACAAAGAAGATGGAGAGATAATATACAGGCAGACTGACAAACACGAGGAGTCATCACTGAAAAGAGAAGGCCAATATGCAGACTGAAAGGATATAGCGAAGCAACCATAGGGTGACCTGTTGGCTAGAAAGTTGAAACTGTGATTACCTGATTTTAAGAAGGCCAGTCATTGATATGGAGGCGAGTGCTATTTGCAGCAGTGAATCTCAAGGACTTGGAATTTTCACATTTCCTACCCATACATGACTGTATGGGCCAGAGTAACTAACAACGAATGCTTAAAAGAAGCTAATGAAAGTAGATCTTTGTATACAACAATGAGAAAGAGACAAACACTGTTCTTTGGCCACATAATGAAAAGAAAGACATTAAAGAACATCGTGACAAAAGGAAAGATCATTGAAAATAGGGGGAGGGGTAGAGGCAGACCAAGAGAGATGATGCTGGATGGGCTGAAACGATGGCATGATGGGATATCATCAAGAGAGCTGTTCCAGGCAACCAGGGATCATGATCTGTGGAGATGCATGAGCATCTACTCCAGTTGGCAGGGCATATGATGATGTTAACATGACTGTAGGTTGCATCACACTGGTGCTGCTGACACAGGTTCCCTAATTATAACTTTTTGTAGATTGAATGAGGTCTCTGTTATTTGCTCTGTTAGCTTGTCATCTGGATAGTATTCTGTAATCTTAGAGTGGTCAAACTATCAGGTAACAGCCTGGTGAGAGGGTTGGGGGTCATGGAAGTATGGAGGGAATAAAAAAGGGCTCTGGCTGCTGAAGAAGAAGCAGAAGGTACACATTACTAATAGTCAATGCTGTGTGGCAGTGGTATAAGGACATTTATATATATAAGCTAAAAGAACATAATGCAAATGTCACCTGAAAGATACCAACATTCACACAGACAAACACTTAAAAAAGATCAGTTGCAGACTGACTCCTATGCAGACTGACCGCGAAAGATGGACTTTGCAACAAGGTTAATGCTATTGAAAGGAGATTTCTGAGCGAAAACCATTCTAGTTTTCTTCTTCTGCCTTTCTATCCCCCAATGGGGCATAGGCCCTCAACCAACTCACACCAAGTCATTCTATCCTTCGTCATTGCATAGAGCTCTCCCCATGTCCTCCCAATCTTTCTAATCTCATTCTCCAGCTCTCTTCTCCATGTGTTTTTTGGCCTTCCTTTATTACTATGCCCCTGTGGGTTCCAATGCAATGTTCTAGTATTACAGAGCATCAACAATTTCATGCACACTACATGTCAGAGACTGCCACTCCTACAGAGGAATTTACAGTCATTAAGTAAACTAAAGGATCCTTTTCCATGCCTTTAGGTGTATTGTATAGATCAGTCTGCACTTGGTGGGTGATGGGTCAGCATCACGCCGGTCATCTTTACTTCACAGGACTTTACCTGGCACCCATTTAAGGCTAGATCGATCTGGGGGCCATGGTTATTAGCTGATACGACACTTTGATCTTAGCCAAATGGTAAAGAAGCTTCATGGTCTCTAGGGACTGATGGTCACTTACATTGTGACAGTGGTAATCGTGTCTGTACCTAGCCTTTTGTCTTGTGCACTTTTAGTCATCTCTGAAACAAATGTTCTTCCATGTCATGATTCTAATGTTTCCTCGACAGACAAAAAATGAAATGATTTAGCCATCTCGTGAAAATGCATTCAGACAAAACTGCATATACGACTTTTTACAGCAAATCATCTGGGAGGAAGGAAGACAAAGAAAGATATGGATGAATGATGTAGCAAAAAGATGAACAAATTCATCACCAGAGCCACCAAAAAGCGCAAGACAAATACAGAAAACCACAACACAACCTGGTATGAGGGAGATGACAAAAGTAGAAGAAAGAAGAATATTTCTGTAATCCTGTTTATCTGACTGTCTTCTTGATTGTATTACTGCATCATCTGATATATTAGAATGATTGAACAATAGACTGATGGATGGATGAATTGTTTGATTGATTGGCTGAATGAATAATTAATTAAGGACCATCTTCACTGTGATTTTCTTTGCTGCTTGATCTCTTGAAATGAATTCCCACAAGAAGGTGATCAGACCAGTTTAACATTCTCTGATCTGATTGACTGAATGATTTTACTGATTAACTGATTTAATAATTCTTTCTAATTTATTTTTGGACTTTATAATTAGCCACTTCTATCTCAAAATTCATATTTGTTCTAGGACTATATGATAGTCTGTTAGGTCATACAGTTTTACAGATTTGTTTTAGACAATAGGGTAATTTCTATCATACATTGTTTCAGATTTTTCTTTTTTTTACCCCATATTTGTCCTTGTCTGCCCGTTCTACTATCTTTTAAATTCGTTTTTTTAACTTTATTATAACCAGTTCTATTTATGTCTTTTTCATGTTTTTGGACTATGTGATCAGCCAGTTCAATCTAACTATTTATTTTTTTCAAAGTAAAGGTAAAGGTAAAGTTGGGAGATGTGAACCAGCGTCATTGCACACGGTTATAAATCATAAGTGCTCTGCCACCAGTACGGACAGCTGATAAGAATAGTCCGCCTGTGTCACCGCTCGCACTTAACTCTGTAGCTACAGCGACGTTCCTCCATTTACCCCAGAGTGTCAACTCTGGTACCCATTTCCTAGAGGCTGAGTGAACCCCAGGAATCGCCTGGTTTCGAACACTGACCGTGGGTTGCAGCGAGTCGCAGCTGGATTTGAAAGCGAGCCTCTTATCGACTGCGCTAACATGGCCCTGATATTATATATTATTTATATATATATTTATATATACTATATATATATATATATATATTCAATAGATATATCTATTTTATATACATTTTTTTAAACTTTATGATAGAGACTTCTGTCTTTGTCTTTTTCAGATCTGTTTTTGGACCACATGATCAGCCAGAAACTACTTCAAGTGGAACTGAAAGATTCTGTCAGGGCTGCCATTGTAGCACAGCACTGCTTCCAGCACCAGAAGTCACGCATGAAAATGTCCAATCAGGATGCAGAAGCAGGAGGAAAGGTCATGTTTAGATCTCTGTCAATGAAGAGGACTTTGTCAGAAATTGGGCGGACATTTTCTATGAAGTCAAAAGGAGGTTGGTAGATTAACTCTTGAAGACTGGGAGTAATAATTGAGTTTTTAAGTTGAAGCATTTTTGAAATTATACATAACTGTAATATTTTATGCTTTAACACTGTCTTTTTTGTTGACCCTCTGGGGGTCAAGTTACGTATTTTTATTTCTAATGTTATATCAGTTTTTGACATATGCCAGTGAAAGCTGAAGAGTCAAAGTTGATTAAAGTTAAATGCATTAAAAAACAAAACCAATGAGAAAAATTATGAACACAAAATGGGATGAATTTAAGAGGAATGAAGAACTAAGAGAAATGTCTGGGCAACCATTAGAATCAAAAGTTAAAAGACAGAGAAGATGGCACTTTATTGGACTGTTTCCATGATATTCTTTGCATTCTCAAAAAGTACATTCAATGTGAAATAATGAGTTTTATTAGCAACTTGAATTGGATAGTTTGCCACTGCTTTCCTATAGGGCTCTGGCTCTACTGGTTTGGTACTGTATCTATTGTCACTATAATGATTAGGATAAAATTGGTAAATGAGACTATGTGAGACTGAAGGAGTAAGGAAAACTTTTATTATGACGGGAGAAAAATATAACTAATTTACTTTAAATGTATCATTCAGTACTTAGGAATTTAATATACATTTTGTTAGTTTATTTTGACAATAAAATGTAAATAATCTGGCTGTCCGAACACTGAACAGACATGCAAGGCTCTGCAGGGAAGATAAAAGAGAATCCAAGCAGTCAACTCAACTTGGATGTCATGAATGGTGATCTACATGAGTCCCCATCTGTGGCAAGGGTATGTGGTGTCTTTTCTGTCTTTCTTGGTTACTTCCCTTCAAGGTTGGAGCTGGAGAAATCTTTTGTTGTCTTGAATATTGATTCCATAAAAACAGCAGATCAAGTGGTTTGGCCATCTCGTTAGAATGCAGCAACATCAAATACTATCACAAGCATGACATCACAGATGATTAGCTACAAGCGCTAGAGGACGGCCACACAAACAAAAAATAATTGACAACATTAAAGACACTTAACATCTTGACAGCATGACAATAGTTAGTGCCTGCCAGCTTGCACTGGATCACAAATTATTTATCTCCATGACACTTAATGGCAGAAGTGGTTTATGATAGAATGACTGTAACATCTTGAGCTTACATCCCACTAATATTTTGAGCTGAAAACATTTGAGTGCATTGACGACTTGAAACTGAAAGAATCATTAGATCACACTGTATTAAATTTATGGACAGACAACAGGTTAAAGTGGATTACTATTATCATGCTTAAGATGTTTGTGAGAAACCAAGTGACTGTGAATCTGCAACCACAACCAGACTATGAGAAAACCAGTGTAAATGGGATGTGGCCAGACAAGAAGACTAAAAGGTTTACCAAAGAAGCATAAGAAACTAACACAGAACTGGTGTTGTTAGCTAATACATGCTGCTGGCTATACTGAGGAGGGTATCAATGTACTTATGCATTGAATCGCTAAATGGGCAGTGAGGATAATATGTCAACTAACTGACTGACTGACTGACTGACTGACTGACTGACTGACTGACTGACTGACTGACTGACTGACTGACTGACTGACTGACTGACTGACTGACTGACTGACTGACTGACTGACTGACGGACGGACGGACGGACGGACGGACGGACGGACGGACGGACGGACGGACGGACTGACGGACGGACTGACTGACTGACTGACTGACTGACTGACTGACTGACTGACTGACTGACTGACTGACTGACTGACTGACTGACTGACTGACTGACTGACTGACTGACTGACTGACTGACTGACTGACTGACTGACTGACTGACTGACTGACTGACTGACTGACTGACTGACTGACTGACTGACTGACTGACTGACTGACTGACTGACTGACTGACTGACTGACTGACTGACTGACTGACTTACTGACTGACTGACTGACTGACTGACTGACTGACTGACTGACTGACTGACTGACTGACTGACTGACTGACTGACTGACTGACTGAACTGACTGACTGACTGACTGACTGACTGACTGACTGACTGACTGACTGACTGACTGACTGACTGACTGACTGACTGGACTGACTGACTGACTGACTGACTGACTGACTGACTGACTGACTGACTGACTGACTGACTGACTGACTGACTGACTGACTGACTGACTGACTGACTGACTGACTGACTGACTGACTGACTGACTGACTGATTAATTAAGCTTAAGGAAAACGCTGTGTGCTAATTCCCAGTGAATCAAGAGGAGCGGCAAAGATACTGGTGCTTAATAGGATACACATTAGGAAAAATATTTATTATACAACTAAGAAGTTCTTTTTCTGGAGCCTACATGGCAAAAGAAATATGGAGTGACCTAAAATTGTGTGGTGAATGTATAAGGAACAAATGAATAATAGGTGAAGGGGGAAGGCATAGACTGAGCTGGAAAGGGTAACAAAATATAAGTGGATTTTTATATGGCTTCACTAGGGGCTAATGGACAGAAGAACAAACAGTGGTCAGTACATCTTGCAGACGCTCGCCTGTGAATTGGAAGTTATGGGTTCAGGCCATGAGAGATCCAGACCCCCCCCCCCCCCCCCCACCATGACCTTGGCTCCCTGGCTGACCTAGCCATATTGTTATATTGTTTTGTGTTTACAGTTAAAAGAAAAACATTTCTGGTAATTTAAACTCTCAGAAAACATTTTTATTTTTTTTTTCAGTTAAATGAGCAGTTTATGAGAAAGATCCCTCCAGGAGCAGAGGCAGCAAACATCCTTGTTGGAGAAATGGAATGTTTGAACTATCAGGTAAAGATACTAAAGGTGTTGTTGCTTTTGTTGGGGAACAACACATGATGTTTGGAGAAGGATACAGGCACTTCAGTATTAATCAGGTAGCTACTGGTGTTGCCAGAATAGTAACTCTTTGTTGGCTACTAACAAATGGATGTTGCTGTGTCCCCAAGAACTGTGATTTCATTTCATAATTCACCCATTGATCCCTCTCTTCTTCCCCATCCATCCATTCTTCTATTCATTCATCCATTATCCATCCATTCATCAGTCTAGCCACCACCTATTAATTTATTCATTCATTAATTCATTTAGGGACTCATGTGATGATTTTAAAAATTTTATTTTATAGATAGTTGGTCTGATTCGTCTGGTTGAAGGAAGGAACATCGGGGACATCACAGAAGTCCCAATCCCAACCAGGTTTCTCTTCATCTTGCTGGGGCCTCTGGGAAGCCAACAGAAAAATGTGGAAATAGGCAGATCAATGTCAACTCTGATGGTGGATGAGGTATTTGATCTTTTTTTCTGCCTGTTATTCTCCACTGGAGTCCGCAATCAGCTTCTTCTATATTCTGCATATCGTACAGAACCACATATTTCCTCCCTATCTTATTAGGTTCTGTCTCATTTACTTCTGCATGTTTGAACAAAGAAGACACAAACAATAGGTTGCACAATTTATTGCCTGGAATATTTCGCTGTATCTTGTCAGGTGCAAACTGCAGTAACAATTACATAAATGAAGCAAATAAGTGAATCCTTTATAAATGAAGTACATTTTCAACAACAATCAAACATGACTGCCTGTTTTTACCAGTGTCTTCTTTGTTCAAATTCACAAAGAGGAAATATTGCTTTGACTTCTACATGTGTTTTTTTATGTGTGTTTTTTTATGTTTTATTGTGATGACTGGAAAGATCAGTGGCAGGATAGAAGGAGGCAGACCAGGAGAAACAGTGCTTGATGGCCTCATGCAATGGCATGGAGGAATATTATCAGTGGAATTGTTTCAGAATACTTCCCTTGTCCAGTTACAGGGTTCCAGTTCTGAGAACAATGAACAGACTAACCCTCCCCTCCCCAACAAGCATGTTGTAGGAGGTGACTAATTAGGGTTGTGTCCTACACAGTCGGAGAGCATCTGCCTGAGAGGCATGGAACCAACAGTCTGCATATAAATAAGCAATAAAGCTAAAATGGATGTGCATGCAAAACTGAAATTTCTGGATCAAGACCATGTGAGGATGAGTGTTTTTTATCCCTGTAACTGAGCAGTAAAGTTCATATTTAGCTTGAGTGTGGGCAAAACTGGCTGCAGATTTAACTAAACTGAGTGTAGTAAGTACAGTTTAGGGACCCCTTTTACCCTCATTGGTAAATATGGCAGATGGTGCTAGCCGAGTTCTTTTTTTTTTTTTTGTTTTTCTGGTGGTACCCGATAGTACACAGTACCAGCACCTTTTCTGTTGTTTTTTCAGTTTTTTCCGCTTTTTTTTCTAGGCACCCTCTTTTCAGCACTACTGTTATAGACATATTATTGCAGGCCTATTCAAGTGGTAGACCATGGAGGCCTAGCAAAGGGCCCGTGGATCATTGACAGTTGTAATGCATTATTGATCTTTCTCTGCAGGACTTCAGGCCTCTGACCCATGACGATTCCCATTTTCACAATGTTGGCCCCTGAGTAGTCATAGTTAAATAGTCCTTCTTTATGATGAATACCAGCACATTTTTATTTCTAGCAAAAAATGTCATGGCCAGACCCATATGTTGTACAGGTCAGTCAGGACTCCATCATTGATGTGAGGAATGTGTCACAGAGTACCTCTTTTTTATTAGGCCATTTCCTAGCACATCTTTTAGGTTGGGTCGACCTGGGAGCAAAGAGAGTGTGTATGTTATTAAAAACCATTACTGAGTATTTGTGTTCTACTTCTTTACTTACGTTTACCAGCTGTAAACTCTGACACAGATTTCTGGTTGTTCATCTATTTCTGGACTTTAGTCTTGTTCTTTGTTCATCTATTTCTGGACTTTAGTCTTGTTCTTTGTTCATCTATTTCTGGACTTTAGTCTTGTTCTTTGTTCATCTATTTCTGGACTTTGGTCTTGTTCTTTGTTCATCTATTTCTGGACTTTAGTCTTGTTCTTTGTTAATCTATTTCTGGACTTTAGTCTTGTTCTAGAACTGGAGTTTTATGTACACATCCATTTTACAAATCTGGCTTGTTTGTATGTAGACTGTTGGTACCTCACCTCTCAAGCAAATGAACTCTTGCTTTGAATGAATCATCTCTAATTAGTTGCTGTTTTAAAACATGATTGTTAGGAGGTCAGTAGGTCAACACCCCCCCCCCCCCCCGGCCGCCTAAAAGGGCCTCAGAACCCACACAGGGACCAGAGTGTAGAAACCTATGTCAAACAAACTAGTGGACAAATAACAGGTTAGAGATATTTGCAGGGTTTTCTTCTCTGATGGAATAGGTACCGTTGTATACTTTTTTTCTTCTTCTTCTTTTGTCAAAATCTGCTTGTGCCGCTAGGCGTCGCAGTCTATCAGATGATCGGCAACCGAGCCAGGGCGCGCTCAGTCGCTTCATATGCCGTGATGTTATGAAGTCTCAAGTTGTCCGTGACTCCTTCAATCCATCTTCTTCTTGGTCTTCCCCTGCTTCTTGTTGTTTCGATTTTCATGTTGTATGCTCTTGATGCTGGCATCGTTGGTTCCATTCTCATTAGGTGACCAAACCATTTCATTCTTTGCTTCTCAATAAATTTAACGATGGGTATGGTTCCAATAGTTCTTGTAATCACATCGTTTCTCACTCGATCTCTTCTGGTTTTATTCGCAGCCATTCTCAAACATCTCATTTCACAGGTGGTTAGTCTTCTCTCATGTTCTTTTTGTTAATGTCCAAGTCTGACATTGATAACCTAATGTCGGTATAAAGATTGTATTTATAATTTTGTCTTTTTATCTCAGCTGGGACAGCAGGGTGTTTTAAAATTGGGGCAAGCTGGTATGCCACATTGTTGGCTTGTTGGATTCTTGCTTCAATCTCTCTGTCTATTTTACCATTGGATGTAAAGATACTTCCCAGGTATTTAAATTCTTGCACTTGTTTTAGGCTGTGATCTAGAATCTTTATGTCGATGGTCTGTTGCTCTCTACTTATGCTCATGACTTCTGTCTTTTCAGTATTGATCTTCATATGATGCTTGAGGCAACTGTCGTGTAGTAGGTTCATGTGGTCTTGCAGCTGTTTACTATCGCTGTGAAATATGCATTGATCGTCGGCAAAGAGCAGCTCATTGAAGTCCTCCGGTTTATCAACATCTGTTGGTGTTATGTCTATTTTATTAATATTGTCCATAAATATTATGAAAAGTAAAGGTGATAATACACAACCTTGTCTTACTCCTGATGTTACTGGGAACCAGTCTGTGATGCCAGCTCTTGTTCTAATGGCGCTTTCACTTTGTCTATAAATAGCCCTAACACAATCTAAAATTGTTCCATTTAAACCGTAGTTTTCAAGAACTTTCCATAATAAATTTCTGTTTACTCTATCGAAAGCTTTTTCTTGATCTATGAAAGCGATGTTCATTTGATGTCTGTGTTCTATTGTCTTTTCGCTAACTTGTCTTAAAGCAAAATAGCGTCAGTACACCCTCTTCCTTTCCTAAATCCGACCTGTGATGGGCTCAGGATCGGTTCTACAACGGATCTAATTCGTTGTTCCAGAATTTTGGCAAACATTTTTCCTACGTGGCTTAGAAGGGAGATGCCTCTGTAATTGTTACAATCTTGCTTATTGCCTTTTCTTTTCCAAATTGGGACTATAAGAGCTCTTTGCCAGTCTATTGGTACAGTTCTTTCATTCCAGGCTTTCCTAAATATGTGGAGTAGCCAGGTGACTCCAATTTCTCCACAAGCCTGTATTGCCTCGGCTGATATTCCATCAACACCTGATGCCTTATTTTTGGGACTGCATCTGATTGCTTCTCTGACTTCTTGTTCGATTATTGTAGGCTGTTCCTCGTTTGTACATCTGGGTGTGAATGGTACTGTTTTCTCATTTCCTGTTACATTCAGAAGAGTCTGAAAATATTCTTTCCACCTTTCTCTAATCTTGCCCTCCTCATGTATGGGTTTGCCTTGACTATCATTGACATATTCAGATGGCTGGAATGGTTCATCTCTAGTCCTCATTTTTGCAATGGTTTTGTAAAACTGTCTACTAGATTTAGCACAGATTTTGGTAAGATTTTCCCCATACATGATCCAGGATGTTTTCTTGGATTGTTTAATTTCTCTTGCAGATTGTCGCCTGGCAATTCTGTACTTGATATAATCGTTTTTTTAGGCATTATTATTTCATCGCTACTGTAATAGACACTTTTTGTGAATATCATGGTGAATACCAACACCTTTTACTCTAGATAAAGAAAAAGCCCTGAATAAATGAATATCTATAACCAAGTTATCTTTCTCATTAGCAACAAAGCATTTGAATCTATTAATCAAGCATTTGAATCTATTAATCAATCAGTTGCGTGTTAACTCTCCAATGAAGATGGTTACAGTGGATCTCAAGCTGTCTGTCTCTCACACTCTCTGAGTCTGTTGTTTGTTATGTCTTGAAGTTGTCCTCCCACTTGTATCATGGTCTACATCTTGCTTGCCTGCTTTAAGTTTCCGTCTAGTAAGGTTTTAAGAGTGTTATGTCTTAAAATAATGTGGCCAAAACATTTCATTTGTCTCCATTTCTATCTCTTTTAACAGTTTTTTTTAAATCCCAGTCTGTCCAAATTATCTGTACTCAGTTTTTCTTTTACATTTGTTTCCATAAAATACAGCAATCAGTGCCGACATAACAATCTAAATGGTGTATTTCCAGGTATTTAGAGAAGTTGCTTACAAAGCTCGCAACAGACAAGACATTCTTGCTGGTGTTGATGAGTTTTTGGACCAGGTAACAGCATTACCTCCTGGCGAATGGGATCCTAAGATTCGAATTGAGCCACCACAGAGTGTGCCTTCACAGGTCTGTACTTTTACTTTGTTATAATATTTTCAGATTTGTATTTGTACTTCATTATAATATTTTCAGATTTGTATTTGTACTTCATTTTAATATTTTCAGATTCGTATTTGTACTTCATTATAATATTTTCAGATTTGTATTATTACTTCATTATATTTTCAGATTCGTATTTGTACTTCATTATAATATTTTCAAACTTTGTATTTGTACTTCATTATAATTTGTTGAGATATTGTTTTTCAATTTCATTAATTATATTTTCAAAGATTAAATTTGATATTTATAATTTTTTTTTTTAATTTGCAAATATTATGTTCCATTTCACTGTGATGTTTACATTTGGAAAATATTTTTTTAGGTTGACATTTTTATGTATGGATGTTAATTTTTGTTGAATTTGAGTACTATTTAATAAATAATTAACATCACTGCCAAAAATGGGACCCCTGAAGAAAAATAAAGGATAACTTTGAAGAATTAATGGACAGTGACTAGTTAATTTTCTAAATAGAACGTTTTGGGTAATGACATATTTTAAAATCTAAATAAATGCTAAAATGTGGAATGCATAACCTGTTTTGACACTGCTTTTTCTACTTTATCATCATGTTTTAGACTGATATTCATGAGCAACCATGGTTTGCTTTCTCACCTGAGCACCAAAGTTTGTGATCAGTTCTGTGTTCTAATACTAATTAAGCATTGTAGTAAAGAAGTCCAGATTTACAAATCCTTGTTTTTCTATATAATTTTAGTTTCATTAAGTTTGCGGGTTATCGTCAAGTTCTGAAACTCATTTTGTCCTCATAGGAAGCCCAAAATAGTGGATATTCTATGTCTAATTTTTCTAATCAATCTGTAGTTTTTAATCTGTTCATCTAAAGACTGCCTGAATTATTCATCTGTCCATCCATGGTATTCTTGTTATCTTTTTCAGAATCCATATTTCTACTTCCATTAGATGTCTTTCTTTTTTATTTTTGTTAATTCAGGCTCCCAGGAGGCAGGCCAAACCATCAGCAGGAAAGTTGAAGTGGGAAGATGAGGATGATGAAGAAGAATCTCACTGTGACCCAACACTTCAAAGAACTGGCAGGTGAGAAATATATTCAAGTTTTAAAATAAGTGTGGTTCAGTAAAACTAAAAGATTATGTTGTTTTTGTTTGCTCTTAGAGGAGACACAATGTGACAGTTGAATAACGAGACTGATCTTATTATGGTCAAGGTAAAAATGCAATCCACAGAGCAAAGAACATCATCCAAACAAGCAGTGTTGATCTATGACCTGGCATATTTAAGAACATAAGTTGTAAAAATAATGTAATGTTTGCTCTTTGCTCCATGCTGCATACATGACCATGCACTTCTCACTAGGTAAACAAAATGGTGGGTTATTTACCATCCGCTTATGAGGAAGAACTGCAATTTTGCCAAATTGTAGATTAATGTTGTTTTTCTGGTTGATGCTTTGCTTAATGGGTGTTTTTTTTTTTTTTTTTGCCATAACAAAGTCTGGTCTTACCATTTAATAGTTGGATGTGTATTTAAAAAATTAAATTAATAAAGCAGCCATTTCCACAGTCTGAGACAATATGTTAACCACTGTGCTACTGTTGCTTGATTTATGCGTATTACAGATTATTATAGACATATACATTTGTCATCAAATTCTTAGTTAGATTATAAACAGCATCCTGGCCTGAAAACTGGGGTATTTTGTTCATGTTAAACATTATCATGGCCTGGGATAGAATGGAATGGAGATACTGTTTCTGGAAAATAAGACAGATCTCTGGGAAGGTGGATACAGAAGGTGAATTAGCATTTGCTAAGGAAACACAAACTGCTAGAAGCTTGCCGCGGATCGGAAGGTCGTGAGTTCGCTCCCTGGCAGGGCCTGACTTTTTTCAAAAACGACCTTGGCTACCAGGTCGACCCAGCCTTGATGGGGTACCAGGTGCAGTCCCAGGAAGTAAAGGTGGCTGGTGTGATGCTGACTACATTACCCATCTTGTGCCGATTGGCCTATAAAAATATAGGTCTAGCCCTATATGCCCTATACGCCTACAGGCGTGGAAAAGGGTCCTTTACTTACTTTTTTTTTACTTATGGAAACACAAAGGACAGAAGAACTGGCTAGAGAAAGAGAGGCTTTCAGGTGTGCCATGTTGAAAGCGATGTTCTGTAAAAGACCTGCTGATAACAATTCATTTTCTGAACATTACCAAAACAGTCTTAGTCGAGGTTTCAACTTTACTGTAATCAGGTCAACCCATGCTAGCTCCGTTCCTGTCTCTATGCAAATGAAATGAAATGTCCATCACTGTCCCATTTGAAAAACAGGTGAACAAACAATTAGTGCCGGTACAGTCCAGAATTATGCACACACAGTAAATGCATATGTCAATTGCTAGAGGTGCCAAAGCTAACAGTCACAATCACAAAATGTCAGTTTGTCAGTAATGGAAGTAGTTGGGCACAATAAGTTGGCTATACACGCATAGAATTATTACATAAGATATTTTACCAGCCCACATGTATAACAGCTACCGGCTATACTGAATCCAATGACTCAACTGCTGCACAAAATGAAATGCATTCCACATGAAAAACACGGCTCACAGGGCCGCACCAAGCACTAAACTCAGTTGAGCAGGCAGCAAAACTATAGACTACTGACCATAAGTGGAAACTGCATCAGAAACATGCTGTCAGAAGCTAAAAGAACATTCTTCAATGCCTAGTCCTTCATTTTAGACCAAAAGCAATTAAGTTATATGAATGGTCAGTTTTCAATCAATTATTAAAAATGAAGAATGACTGATTGAGTAGTCGGATCGTATTATTTCTCATGTGGGAAATTCAGATTCAAATCTTTGGTAAGGTGATGGAAAATGGGGGGAAGAGGGGGGGGGGGAGGGGGGTGAATAACCTTCCTACTGTGTACAGTCAATGGCAACATCTGAAATCCTCAGGTATTTTTGTCCCAATAAAATTAACCAAAATCTATATGTTTTCAAATTAAATTGATTATGAATCACACATTTTAAAATTCTGCAATTTTTGTGTGTAAGCCACTGATGCTAAATTCTAGCTTTAAAATGACACTTTATTATTTTTAACAATCAACAGATTATTTGGTGGTCTAGTAGCAGATATCAAGAGAAAATTGCCATGGTATCTAAGTGACTTCAAGGATGCATTACACATCCAGTGTGTGGCTTCCATCATCTACTTGTACCTGGCCACATTAACACCAAACGTCACATTTGGAGGTCTTCTGGGACAGGCAACTGATCAGTACATGGTAAAGATAAACTATTCCCACCAGTAATTGTTATGTTATCATGAGTCATATGCAAATGTGAGATCTGTAAATCTTTCAACAAAAATTAGGATTTATTTTTCACTCTTTACAGTTTATTTTCAGTTTTTGCTCAAAGATTATTGAGTGTACAAATAATCATCATTCATAGGCATCATCTTGTGGTTTACAGCTAGACTAGGATATCTGCACCTTCTAGCCTAACACTTCCAATTTCAGCTAATTACTAATTAGTAGCTATTTACAACCTGCTAGAGGGCCAGTGAGTTTATTATTCTCCCCCCCCCCCACCTTCCCTTTCCCCAAACTGGGGTCCTGAACCCCACACTAGGATATGTTCTATCTAGACTATTATGGTGTCTTTCAATGACAGCTAGTTATAACTTTTTGTCTGGATGTCAGTTTTGCTTCCTGGCTGTTATCAAAGCAAAGAAAGTCTATTCGTGTGTATGTGCACATGTGTACGTGTGTTTTTGTGTTTGAGAGAGAGAGAGAGAGAGAGAGAGAGAGAGAGAGAGAGGGAGAGAGAAACATATTACAAGAATGAATGCTGATGGGAAAAGATCAGGGGCAAGGCAAAGAGATAAATACCTGAATGGCTTGGCCATATGCGTGGAGTGGGACAAAAGCCCTGACTTGTTACATAATTCTGGGGATTGTTTAAGATAAGAAAAACTTAACTTTAAAATATGACTTGGCAGGGCTCATAATGATCCTAGATATTACATCAAATATTTCTGCCCTAGTCCTTACGTTAACTCAATAAGTCTCTGAGGGGTATCAGTAAAAGTCAGTCAGAAACCTTTTCATGCCATTGGTGCATCAAGCACAAGATGCCAGGCTCACATTTGTATAGACTAATTGACACTCAGTGGGTGATGTGGTCACAATCTTGCCAGCCGCTTTTACTTCCCAGGACTCACTTTCTGTTACTTTTTTAAAGTTGGATTGACCTGGATGACAAAGTAATTTTATTTTTTTTCAAATCAACCTATTATGAGTTTGAACTCAAGAAATTTTAACAGACAGACAGACATCTAACCACTATACTACTGTGGCTCCCCTCATCCCCTCAGATAGGTTTTACTTGTAGATAGTCTGTGCAAATCTCAGATAGGTTTTACTTGTAGATAGTCTGTGCAAGTTGTTACTAAGTTTGAAAACTTTAAAAAATGGTTTTACCTGTAGATAATATGTGCAAGTTGTTACTTACTCAGGTCCAACATTTTTTAAAGATAGTCTGTGCAAGTCGTCCAACACTTTAAATTATAATTTTACTTGTACATACTCTGTGCAAATTGTTACTTACTCAGGTCCAAAACTATTGACTTTGATTTTACTTGTGGGTAGTCTGTGCAAGTTGTTACTTAGTAAGTTCAAAAACTTGTTACTATCATTTTACTTTTAGATAGTTTGTACAAGTTGCTACAGATTCAGGTCCAAAACTGTTTACTGTGGTGTTACTTGTACATAATCTGTGCAGGTTGTTACTTACACAGGTCCAACCATTTTTAAGTATGGTTTTACTTGTAGATAGCCTATGCAAGTTATTCAAGTTGTTACTTACTCAGGTCCAGCACATTTTATTATGGTTTTACTTGTAAATAGGCTGTGCAAATTGTTTCTTACTTAGGTTCAACACTTTTTACAATGGTTTTACTTGTAGATATCTGTGCAAGTTGTTCCTAAGTTTCCAAACTTTTTACTATTGTTTTACATTTAGATTTTCTGTACAGTTGTTATTTACTAAACAGCAACACTTTTACTGATATTTTACTTGTGGATAATCTGTTCAGGTTGTTAGTTATTCAGTACAGACACCTTTTTCTTTCTTCAAAACCAAGGTTTTACTTGTAGATAGGCTGTGCACATTTTACTTACACATGTCAGAGGCTTTTACTAAGATTTTACTCACAGATGGTCTGTGCAAGTTGTTACTTAGTCAGGACAAACATTTTTTTTTACCAAGGTTTTACTTGAAGATAGTCTGTGCAAGTTGTTACTTAATATGTTCCAAAATATTTCACTATCATTTTACTTTTAGATAGTCTGTGCAAGTTGTTACTTACTCAGCTCCAAAACCTTTTTCTATGGTTTTACATGTAGAAAAATCATGTTAGTTTTTACTTCCTCATGTTCAATATTTTTTGCTGAGGTTTTACTTGTAGATTGTGCTAGTTTTTACTTATAGATGGAGGCTGAGTGGTCTCAAAGTGTGGTGTCCGCCTTAAGTGCTGGAGATCCCGGGTTCATGCCCTGGTGAAGGCTAGGATTTTTGCACGTGGACCTAGTAATTTCCCCTGGTCTCTGGGTAGTAAGATCAGACGCCGGAGTGTATTCTTTAGCACATGAAAAACCTCTTGGCAGTTGAAAATCAAACAGAGTAGTCTAACGGTGCTGCCTGGGCAAAAATTTGGAGTTTAAAATCTACCAAAAGTATTTCAGGATCCTCGCCGGTGCAGCGGAGTTCGTGTACTGCGCTGATATTCTTCAGACTCAGGCTTGAGTTAGAAGAAAAACGGATGTTGATCCATTGAATAAATATAAACATAAACTTAAACAAGTCAGGCACTTTTACTAAGGTTTTACTCGTAGATTGTCTGTACAAGTTGGTACTAAGTTAGGACACATTTACTATTCTTCAGTAATCATTCTAAAACATTTCTGAGGATCATTTTTGACCTATTGCTTCCTAATAAGCAAGTTGTCGAATGTAGAACCCAAGATAGACCAAACACAAGATGGAAAGATAACATCGGAGAAACTCTACAACAGCATGATGTGTCTGTGGTCAAGGCGGCCAGAAAAGCTAGAAGCAGAACCTTACATCTCCCATGATACCTGAAATAGTAAAAGAGGTAGTAAGAAGTAGAAGAGAATGATGGGAAAAAGTGAATTAGATAGGAAGGACAGGCAATAAGCTTAAAAATATAGGCTTCGTCTGAGTTGGTTGACTGCCTTTACTGCTGTGGGGGATGAGAATGAAGGGTGGTACATTTCTCTCTGGTGAATTAGAGGTGTATTTTTGTTTTAGTATCCAGAAGCCATGAGTATTAGAGGTGTATAGAAGTTGTTTACGTCAGGCTCTACAACAATATGAAGATGTGTGCATGTTGTATATGAATAATACAGGTACTGAGGTGGAGTCATGGAAACAGGTTGCCATGGACTGGTTGCATGAAGAGGAGAAATCAGAAAGAGAATAGGGATACAGAAAAAAATAATTATTGCAGATTAGTTAATATCTGAGAGTCTTGTTAAATAACTGATTGCAACAATGATCATGAATCCCATGCTCCAAATGTGGAACTCTTCTGTTAATGAAAGCAGGTCTTGCTGGTCACACTCACCACCAATTAGGGCTTTGATTCCCATGTCCTCTATAGCACTTTTTGCACTAAGGTGCAAGTGAATGGACAGAAGGAGTAGGAAAGGGAAGAAAAGGGAGAGGGGGGGTGCAGAAAGAATAATTCATGTATTAACTCTTTGAGTTGAGTCCCAAGGAACACATCGTATGTTCATAGGTTACTGCCTAGAAGCCCAATGAATGCATGATGCACCGATTTTACGTCTCTTTTGACACCCCTTAGGCCTGTGATGCAAAACTCTCTGTTACTTAAAGAGTTAAGGTCCAGTTGTATTGTGTTGTTCTTCACACTAGGGAACGATGGAGTGCATCCTCACGGCAGCTGTTGTTGGGGTGTTGTTTGCTCTTTTCGCTGGCCAGCCTTTGAACATTCTGGGCAGCACGGGTCCCATGTTGGTGCTGGAGATGATTTTGTATAACTTCTGCAAGTAAGTTATAATGTGTTTATTTATGCTTGAGAATCAGTTGCACACACATGCCGTTACTAACATTTTCACAGAGCTCACTTAGAAAGGTGGAGACAGGTATGCTTCATGCAGAATAGCAAGAATTGCTTCAGAAGATAGTTTTACCAGGGTATTCAGGTGTGTTAGGAAATAAACAGACAGACTGGCTGGCTCTGCACAACTTTGTGGTAAATTGATGCATGACAAGCTAGATATGGTCTGGGCCTTTTGACTGCAAGTGAACAGTTCAGAAGGTCATTCTTCTTCTTCTGTGTTCGACATCATTCATGCTAAACATTGAGCCCCGTCTGGGTCACAAATGGGATTGTGCATTTAAGGTCGCCACCGGTCCCCCATAGCTTCTCTTGCAATGTGGCTCCCTTGGGCCAGATCCACAGTCTTTGCTGGGAGAGGTAAGGGCAGCACTGTAGTATGTGCTCAGGGGTCTGTCTTTCTGCTCCACAGTCACAGGCAGCAGATTCTTTTATGCCTATCCTGTTCAGAAGCTCAAATAGATCATCATTGTAGGAAGAAAATGGTGTGCCATCTAGTGACTAGGGGATGTGACCAATATTCACTACTCAGGGGAAACGCAAGACAGGAATAGCAATCAAACCTACTACTGGTACCATTTGAATTAGGACTCTGCGCTGGTTACTGAAGACTGGAATGTATCACTTATGGGCATGTTTCAAGAGCTGTGAAGTCGGTTCTTAACCAGGCTTAATACTATTTAGAAAGCTGGGGGATTGGTACCTTGAGCAACCGCCACCCCAAATATTTTAAGAGGAATGAGCTGCCCCCCCCCCTTCCCCCACCTCAGATCACGCTAACCATGTATAGAAGTTTTATGTTTGAAGTTTTCATCTATACATTTTATATTATTTCAAATATATGATTTCTAACATATTATTTCTAACATATTATTATATGCATTGTCTGTCATTTATCCTTTCTTTTACTGTTCCAGGCTGTGATGCCAGACTGTCTAATATCCTCTCACTTGGTCTTATTCTGCCTCTTTTCCCTTTCAACTTTGCCAAAGTGTCTAAATTCCTCTCTGTTGACACACCCTCTCTCCTGCCTTTCTTTCCCTCCAACTTTCCTTCCATCATAGTGTGCTCAAGTTTACCCCTTCTAATCGTGTGAACAAACAAAGAAGGTTTTCTTCTTCTGATGCAGGTTGTGAGAACAGCCAACAGATCATATGTAACAGATCGCTATGGTCTCAGGTTCCCTGCAGTAGGCAGAGGATCACACTTAGGGACAATGGCTATGATTTTCAGACCAGTATGATAGCTGCCAAGGAGGAAAGCAATAGTAAATTATCTTCCTAAAGATAGCAAGAAAAGTCATGATACACTAACGTGATCTGTGATTCTAGCGATCATGTGAGAAAGCAAAAGATGTCAGCCTTCATCTATCAGCAATTTCACATGATAGTGATGATCATAATGATGCAAATAATCAGTTTTTATTATGAACTGATTTCTTATTTAGACAACTTGCTAAGCAGTATGTAAATGCTGATACTTTAAATATTTCTTCTTCTGTCCATTATCACCCAGTGGAGCCTAGGCACTAAACCAACACCTGCCAAGTTATCCTCTCCTGTGATATCTCAGGCACCTTACACCTATGTTCTCCTTGTTGTTTTAATTTCAGTGGCTAGATACCTTTTTCTTTGGTTTTTGTGTGTGTTTATTTTCTGAGGTGAGGGGAGTTGAGGGAGGGGTGAATTGGGGAAGGATCTGCCTTTATTTCTGTGAAGTGTAGATTACAATATTAAGCCCTTCTAATTATATTATTCTCTGGTTTTCTCAATGTTTGTCCTGTCTAACACCAGTGTCGATCTATTGATCGATCTGTCCCCTCTGGGCAACTACCTAAAGGTTTACCATACTATCCTGGGATTTTAAAGTAAATCCCACACTCTTGAAGGCAGACCAATAAGGCAGATTCCATATAACCTGTACAACCTTCAAAGAAGTTATAATTAGGATACACGTAACAGCTACACCGGCCAGGTGTTATCTGCAACCCTATGCAGCTAAAAAAGTTAAATATGCCAGCATCTTTTCTTCACCCCCTTAATTCACTGAAAGATGTTTTAAAAAAAAAACTCCACATCAATTGTTCTTTCATACCATTTAATATACTCTGTTAATCAGTATACAATCAGTATACTTTTTCTTCCTAAAGTCCATGCTGTGTGGCACTGGTAGTCATGTTTATCCAAACCTTTCTCTCATGTAGCTTCAGTCAGTTTCAGCACAGGTAATCCTCCATGCCATGATGTCAAGCTATCCAGCATCTTCTCTCTCAGCCTCCTTCCGCCTCTCCTCCAATCCAGCTTTCCCACTGTCACAATGTTCTTAAGTTTTCTTCTTCTGATGACATGATCAAAGAACTTAGATTGTCTCCCTTTAATGTAAGCACTCAGTTCTCTTTTGTGAGTCAGTTTCTTTAAGACATGTTCATTACTCTATTTTAATTTCTTTGGGGTATTTTCATCATTCAGCTATAAAACCACAGCTTTGCAGCTTCCAAAAAATTGTTCACTAATCGACCAACTGTCCATGATTCACTTCCATATATCAGGATAGGATTTTAATAGTTTGTAAGAATTCTCTTTCTCATCTCACCTGACAAAGAAAGATTGCATAAAATGTTCCTCATTTTTGTAAAATGCTACCTGATCACTATACTAGACGGTATGTTATTTGAATGTTTCTGTCTGCATGTTACAGGGATAATGATAATATTTGAATGTTTCTGTCTGAATGTTACAGGGATAATGATAATATTTGAATGTTTCTGTCTGAATGTTACAGGGATAATGAAAATATTTGATTGTTTCTGTCTGTATGTTACAGGGATAATGATAATATTTGAATGTTTCTGTCTGAATGTTACAGGGATAATGATAATATTTGAATGTTTCTGTCTGTATGTTACAGGGATAATGATAATATTTGAATGTTTCTGTCTGAATGTTACAGGGATAATGATAATATTTGATTGTTTCTGTCTGTATGTTACAGGGATAATGATAATATTTGAATGTTTCTGTCTGTATGTTACAGAGATAATGATAATATTTAAATGTTTCTGTCTGTATGTTACAGGGATAATGATAATATTTGGATGTTTCTGTCTGTATGTTACAGGGATAATGATAATATTTGAATGTTTCTGTCTGTATGTTACAGCGATAATGATAATATTTGAATGTTTCTGTCTGTATGTTACAGGGATAATGATAATATTTGGATGTTTCTGTCTGTATGTTACAGGGATAATGATAATATTTGAATGTTTCTGTCTGTATGTTACAGCGATAATGATAATATTTGAATGTTTCTGTCTGTATGTTACAGGGATAATGATAATATTTGAATGTTTCTGTCTGTATGTTACCGGGATAATGATAATATTTGAATGTTTCTGTCTGTATGTTACAGGGATAATGAACTGGATTTTCTGCCATTTAGAGCCTGGATTGGACTGTGGACAGCTCTGCTGTTAATTGTCATAGTGGCCTTTGACCTCTCAGCTTTGGTCAGGTACATCACTAGGTTCACAGAGGAAAGCTTTGCCAGTCTTATTGCTGTCATATTTATTGTGGAGGCTTTCAAGAAACTCGTTGGTAAATTTTGTTTTCACTGTTGTTATTGTCGTTGTTGTTGTTGTTATTGTTGTTGTAATAATTTTAGCAATACATTTATCATCAATATTATTATCATCATCATATTGTCATCATCACCCTAACAAACACCACTACCATCATTACAGCAGCACCATCATCACCAGCACCACCATCATCAACTTCACAATCATCATCATTACCAAAAAGCTTACTGACTCTAAACACTGGAGGAAAGTCCTGGCTGTTTGTCCACTTCTGAACTTGGCCTTGTCTGAAGATATGAGTTTATTATGCACAACAGTTTTACAGATTTGGCTTCTTAAGTGTGCAGACTGTGTCTGCTGGTTACTCACCTCTCAGGCATATACTGTCTACGACTTTGAAGTAAACCTCACTCCTATACATGCTGGCCAGTCCCTTGGTTGGGAACCTGTTTCTAGGAGGACCCTGGAGAGGTGTAGGCAGGTCTTGACCAGTATGAGCTCTGGTCCTGGTGCACCACCACATGTGATTCAGCACCTCTTCTTCTTCTGCTTTCCATCCCCCCAATGGAACATAGGCCCTCAACCAACTCACACTAAGGCGTACTATCTTCTGCTATTACATACAGCTCACCACATGTCCTCCAATCTTTTTAATTTCCCTCTCTGGCTCCCTTCTCCACGTGTGTGTGTGTGTGTGTGCGTGTGTGTGTGTGTGCATGCGCGCATGTGCATGCATGTGTTTTTTTTTTTTTTGGGGGGGGGGGTCTGCTTTTATTTCTATGCTCCTGCAGGTTTCAGTGTATTCTAGTTATGTTATTCTCAGGTTTTCTCAATGTGTGTCCTATCCAACGACAGCGTCTTTTCTTCACCTCTTGACCACTGGAACTTGTTTGGTTCTCTCCCAAAGTGAAACATGGGTGGTTCATACAATTTAATTCCCTCTGTTCTACACAGATACAAGTTAATGAATGTTTGTAGTTTGTTAGTAATTGTTTCCATCGTTATCCATGTTTCCACTCCATTTTGCACCTCTGCATCCCATTTATTGGAACAGAGATAATGTAAATGTCATCTTCCATGTGTTGTTTTCCCTAGATATACTGGATGTGGCACCGATAAACACACACAGGGATGCTGTTCTCAACTACACGTGCGATTGTTTCCCTCCCAACACCACAGCTGTCAACTTGAACGTTAGTGACAATGCCACTGTCAGTGCTGTCATGTCCAGTCTCCTTGAATGTAGTGGGTTTGACAGCAATGTTACAGGTGAGATAACTCTTTTTTATTTTTATTATTATTATGTGATTCACAAATGTTAGATAATTTGATAATTGCTTCAATATTATCCACATAACTGTCAGGATTGGCTAGCTCTTCACTGGCTAGAGAACAAGATGCATACACATGTCGTAATTGTAACAGACTCTGAAAGCATGCTGAGAAAGGTGAAGACAGGGGTGCTTCGAGCAGAGTGGCAAGCTTCACTGGCAAGGTCACGGGTAGTGAGCATACTTTGGATTTTTTCTACAGGCGATGCCGGCCTAGTGGGTAATGAACAGGCAGACAGATTGGCTGGATCTGCACCACTAGGTGGTGAATTTATACATGACAAGGCAGATGTGGTCAAGGCCCTTTGGAAACAAGCAATGTAATTAGTAGAGAAACAAGATTATTATGGCCTTGAGAGAATGAGGCACCTGGGTCTGGCCGGCTCACTACACTCAGAGGAAAGGCAAGACAGATTTTTAACCAGATTGTGACCGGTACAATCAGTACTGGAATTCTGCACTGGCTGCTGAAGATGAGGACGGAGCACACATGGGAATGCCCAGAGTGCTGTGATTTAAATTCTTGACTCAACTCAACTCAACTCAAATTAGTAGCCTGCCAATGACCTGTAGGAAACCAGGTCAACTCCTCCTCCTCCAAGCGGAATATAGTGGAAACCAGAGACGGCGAGGCCTCTTGATAATTGAGCTCTGGCTGGCCAGATATAATTGAGATCTTGTTAAATACTCCCTTCAACTGTAACAGGCACAGCAAGGTGAAAGAAGATGAAAGCTTGCTCGAAGAAACAATAACAAGATAACTTTGAATCTGATGCTTGAAGGCAGAATAGGGTGTAGAGATAAAATATCTTGAACTTTGACAACTCAGGTGGATGATATAGGTATCCACATTACACAGTTTCTAACAAAATATATTGGTTTATACCTTGATATTTTCCCACCTTTATACAACATTCCCTCAACACCAATATATACTATTCCAGCAGCACCATTACAACGCTTTCCAGCATACATCATTATAGCAATACCTTTAAACATCATTCTAGCAATACCATTTTACATCATTATAGCAATACCATTAAACATCATTATAGCAATACCATTATACATCATTATAGCAATACCATTATACATCATTCTAGCAATACTATTATAAATGATTCTAGCAATACCATTATACATCATTCTAGCAATACCATTATACATCATTCTAGCAATACCATTATACATCATTATAGCAATACAATTATACATCATTATAGCAAAGACCATTATACATCATTCTAGCAATACTATTATAAATGATTCTAGCAATACCCCTATACATCATTATAGCAATACCATTATACATCATTATAGCAATACCATTATACATCATTCTAGCAATACTATTACACAGTTTCTAACAAAATATATTGGTTTATACCTTAATATTTTCCCACCTTTATACAACATTCCCTCAACACCAATATATACTATTCCAGCAGCACCATTACAACGCTTTCCAGCATACATCATTATAGCAATACCATTAAACATCATTCTAGCAATACCATTTTACATCATTCTAGCAATACCATTAAACATCATTCTAGCAATACCATTAAACATCATTCTAGCAATACCATTAAACATCATTCTAGCAATACCATTAAACATCATTCTAGCAATATTATTATACATCATTCTAGCAATACCATTATACATAATTATAGCAATACCATTATACATCATTATAGCAAAGACCATTAAACATCATTCTAGCAATACTATTATAAATGATTCTAGCAATACCAATATACGTCATTCTAGCAATACCAATATACATCATTCTAGCAATAACATTATATGTGCAATGTGCTCTGCTAGGGGTTTGTTTCTACACGTCACAATGCTGTATTGATGAACACTTAGTTGCTATAACACACCAGAAACGAATGTTCATTTATAGACCTTTATTCGCTGAATCAAACATACTGAAAGCCTATTCTTTCGTCCTCGTGGTCACTATGCATGGCTGATTTCTGATGACCTGGCTAACTCTCTCGCACACTGTTTTGCTCCATCTGTATCTCTCAAATCACACATCCATATTATACTAAAGCCTTGTACCTGGTATTAGTACATGTTGAAACTGGCAATCAGGAAACATTCATGTCTTCTCTTGATCAATTATACATGGTCACAAGCTCTCCATTCTAATCAGTTGTTCTCTCACATACGACCTTTCGCAATCAGGTCCGAACTTCAACTGTCTTACTACCATCTCTCGGTTCACGTCTTCTGTTCCAGTCTCGTGCTTTTCTTGTATCCCTTATTCGCTCACTCGAGACCCACTTATCTTGTTTTTTTCTTGTATCACTGGTCCTCTGACCTTGTTCTCCCCATCGGGAACTCTCTGAGATTTCCCCGGGAATTCATAACATTACAAAACGTCATTCTAGCAATACCATTATACATCATTTTAGCAATACCACTATACATCATTCTAGCAATATTATTATACATCATTCTAGCAATACAATTATATGACATTCTAGCAATACTGTATTAAATCATTCTAGCAATACCATTATACATCATTCTAGCAATACTGTTATACATTATTCAAGTAATACCAACATACATCATTCTAGCCACACTGTCATGCATCATTCCAGCAGTACTATAATACATTATTCTAGCAATAACATTGTACCTCATTCTAGCAAAACCATTAATCATCATTTCAGCAATACCATTATTCGTCATTCTAGCAATACCATTATACAACATTCTAGCAATACTTGCATACATAATTTTGCAATACCAGGAAGGAGAGGAGGAGGAGCAGAAGAAGAAGATGAAGAAGAAAGAGGAGAAGAAGAAGAAGAAGCAGCAGCAGCAGCTGGAGGAGGAGGAAGAGGAGGAGGAAGAGAAGAAGAAGTAATATTAATAACCTAATTAGAGATAATGAAAATAACGGAGGACTACCACTTCATAAAAAGAACATTAAAAAAAATGTCAAGGTAAGATGTTGAGGAGAAGGAAGGAGAGGGAGGAAGAAGAAAAAGAAAGAGAAGTTAGAGAAGAAGAGTAAGCCAGGGAGGAGGATGAGGTGTAGAAAAAGAGGAGAAAGTGAATTATATCAGCTTTGAAATGACTAACAAGGGTTCTCTTGATTCTATTCAGCTCAAAACCAGACCATTGATTTCTTCAACCTGTCATCCATGTGTGTTAACTGGACAGCCATTCCCGTGAATGTCTGTGAATCAGCTGGTGGGTTCCCAGTTACAGTCGGCTGCAACACAAAACGCTACATACCAGATGCCTTCTTCCTCTCTGTTTTGCTGTTCATTGGAACATACATGATTGCCACATTCTTGACAGATGCAAAGAGCAGCTCATTCTTTCCCACTTTTGTAAGTAATTAATTTTTTTGAAAGTAGGCTACTTCTGTAAGGTAAACAATAAGTAGTTCCTAACCCTTTTCTTGCCAGTGGTGCAGCGAGCATATAGTGCTAGACCCAGGTTTTTTTTTAAATGTGGTATGCAAGGGTTTGCAGTTCTCGCACCTTATTTTTTTTTAATGGCATCTTTGTTTTCAGCACTTAGGTATTTGACACTTTCTGGTGAGTACCAACACCCTTTAAAAAAAAAACTTTATGGTGAGTACAAGCACCTTTTTTTTTCTAGAAACAAATCCTAACTAGACCCATATTTGTATAGACCAATCAGCATTCAATGGATGATCTGGTCAACATCACACCTGCCTTTACTATTACCAGTACAATAACTGGTACCAGGTTTTTTTTCTATGCTTTATTAATATCCTACCCCAAACAGGGGAAATCCATAGGTTACGGGACAGTCTAATATTTCAGGATGTGGTAGATAGACTGCATGCAGTTAGAGATCTATACTGCATGCAGTTGTGGGACCTAGGCTGCACTCTCTTGTGGGACATAGGTGGTTTAAGACTAGGGCCACTCATAGATGTTTTGGGGCTGTTAAAAGCATCAGAAAGCTGAGAAACCCAGTCTTACCACACTCTAAAATGTTGGACTATCCTGTGACGTCATCTGGGGTAGGATATTAATAAAGTACCGTTTTTTTTCTTCCGTTTTTCTAGAAAATAAGGTACTGCAACACACCAGAAAGTGTTTGTTACAGTAGCATTGAAAAAACTCATGCCTAAAAACAATGATGCCAGCACTGCATACGGGTGCACACCACCAGGAATAAAAACCAAAATGGAAGAAAATGTCAGTTTTTGAACAATATCCACCTTCATGTAGATTTGAACTCTAGACCTTCAAGCCAAAAGGCAAGGATCTAGTAGCTAGCAGCTATGCTACTGCAGCGTCCCCTTCTGTGTTAAATGTAGATTATTTCCAAATCTATGGAACAGCAAGTTTTTGTTGATTTCAACTAACCTGTGGAGGGTTACATCATGGTTTGACAGAATCCTTAATGGAAAGCAGAGAGAGAGAGAGAGAGAGAGAGAGAGAGAGAGAGAGAGAGAGAGAGAGAGAGAGAGAGAGAGAGAGAGAGAGAGAGAGAGAGAGAGAGAGAGAGAGAGAGAGAGAGAGAGAGAGAGAGAGAACTAAAAAGGTTCCTATGAATAAAGAAGCTAAGAAAATCCCAGGCACAGTTTTTTTTCAGTGCTCAGTCTTAGAAGGCTCAAATGGCTGGGACAACACCTGGAGGATGGAGGATGGTAACATCCAAAAAGACTTCCTCTGATAAATTACAGATGGGCAGGAAAGATAGAGGTTGACAACTACAGTGATATAAAGATATGTGCAAGTGGAACATGAATGGTACAGGTATTGAGACATGGATTCAAGGAAGCAGGATGTCATGAACTGCATTTGGGCGGGTGGGGGAAGAAAGAGAGGGGGGCAGGGGGGAGGGTCAAGGAAGATGGGGGCAAATAAAGACCTGAATTGACATCAAGAAATGGGCAGGACTAAATTACTATACGCCAGTTCACCATTACCCATCCAGTGCTGATTGGTCTGTACAAACAAATATAGGACGCTCTTCCCATATACCCGATGCACCTAAGGTGTGAAAATGGATCTTTGCTTTACTTACTTTACTTCACCAAGTGGAAGACAAAGATGGCAGGTTTTGTGTCCTAGTGCTTCCATCGATACACCTCCATGACCCAAACAGGTCAAGGGTTATGTTATGTTTTGAAGGCAGAAAAAGAAGAAGAAGAAGAACTCAACTTATCAAAAAGAAGAGTCTAACCATTGACAATGTTCATCTTCAGATTCGACAGACTCTGAGTGATTTCTCAGTATTGATTGCCATCATTGCCATGGTTTTGACTGACTATTTGATCAGCATTCCAACACCCAAACTTGAGGTTCCCACAAAGTTCAAGGTCAGTTCCTTTTTGTAATACAACTTTTCTATAACATTTGTATACATCGTTGGCACTATGCTAAAGTCAACTAAGTGGTAAATTTAGTTTTGAGAAAACTATATTTAACTATTTTAGTCCCAAGGAACGCATCAAACATTCATAGGTCCCGCCTAGAGGCCCAATGAACTCAAGATGCAGCCATTCTACATCACTCTTGACTACCTCTTGGGCCTCTGATTCTAAACCCCCTGGTTCTCAAAAAGTTAAACATTGAGATTAAATGAAAAATTGCAAGAAAAATATTACTTCACTTTGATCCATCTGGAGCAGGAATTCTCATGTGTGCCTTTGCTAAGTGACAAATAACAGACCTGAAAACGCTCTTATTTAAAAATCTCCAAAAATTTGCACTATGTTGACTCGGGCCAATGAATTATGTTGCTGTTTAGGTTAGTCGTGTATCCTTTACAGGACGTTGCAGAACCAACCCAAACAGCCCCTTGCTGTTGTGTGGTTTTTCTAGGCAAATTTACGTCCAGTAGTTTGCCATTGCTTTCTGGACGGTCGACTTTCTTGATACCACTGTCGAAACCAACAAAAGGCGCATGGCCCGCAGCTGGGATCGAGCCCGGCATCCCGGCATTACGAAGCATTCACATCGACTTAGCCACAGAGCCGACATGTTGCTGATTACAAATGCAATTTCTTATATAATATTCATAATTTTTGTTGTGACTATTTTTAAACAGTATTCTTATCTTTCCATATAGTTTCTTGCATAATAAAAATACTTTCTCGTGCATTTTCACACCTTTTTCATGAAAATTGTAGCATAATATTCCTTTTTTTCTATACAAATTCTCAACATAAATAGCAATTCTTAACATAATATTCAAATGTTCTCAAGTAATTTTCTACATAATGTTCCTACTTTTGCATGTAATTTTGTTGCACATGGACAGCTAACATCCAAGTAGTCCCCATGTAGGATGCAATTTTTTTGTTATTTGAAGCCCCACCCTGGCTTCTGCCAGAGCCCTGAATATAGACAGGTCCAAAAATATGGCCTAGGCCATAGATATGGCCATTAATGGCTGAAAGGAGTTTCTGTGACCTCTTCACGGGTAATCCTCATCTGCATGGTGGCACTTTGTGTCACCGGGTGTTTATCCCTTGTTTGGTGTCCTGGTGGGGTACACCTACCTACCTACCTTCCACATGGACAGCCCCAGAGACCTGTGTGCCAAAGTCAAGCAGTTTATTACTAGAACTAAAATATATATATATATACATAGAAGGGTGGGGAAAAAAAAGAATCAAAATGTCATCTTTGAAGAAATCTCTCCTAAAGAAAAAATCAAGGAGGATAATCAACTATTACATTTAGTGCATAAGTTATACTACCGCTACAGCTATAACTATCAACACTACCCTATCACCACCACTACACTTTTACAAGCACTACTACTATTACTTCTACTACTATTGCTACTACTACTTTTACCACAACCACTAGTACTACTGCTACTACTACTGTCATCAGCACCACCATTACTACCATTAATCTCATGTTCTCATTACACAGCCTACAAGAGATGATCGTGGCTGGTTTGTCAATCCCATCAGTGACAAGAATCCAGTATGGCTGATCTTTGCTGCGGTCCTGCCTGCGATGCTGGCTGTCATTCTGATATTTATGGATCAACAGATAACAGCGGTTATTGTCAACAGAAAGGAGAATAAACTTGTGGTATGTTCTTATTCTTCAATATTCTCCCTTACAAGGGTGGCTAGCACTTTCTGTTGTGGTTTTAACTTCAGATTCTATTTGGTCTTTTAACTCATGGTCTAAAGAGAATGGTGTAGTGAGATGGGACCAAGGGATGTGGCAGACACTAAACACTCACAACAAAGGTTAGATAATCATACAATCACACTGCTGCTGTTATAATCAGAATAAGAACTATGCACTGACTGCTGAAGACAGGGACAGAGTGCTTGTGGGAAATGTCCTGAGTTCTATGATGTCGGTTCTCAATGCATCTCAACTCTTTAGAAGGTAGACATGTTTAGATATGTCCATCCCCAACTAACTCCTGTGTTCCCATGTCAACCAAGGTTAAAATGAGTACCAGGCAATATCGTGGGAAGAAAAAGTGGCCAGGAGGGCGTTGATCATATCATCCATTGAGTGCTGACTGGTCTATCTTCTTCTTCTTTGCCTTCGCCAGCTGTAAACTGCAGCAGAAAGTTCTGTTTGTTCGTCCACTTCTGGACTTTAGTTTTGTTCCAGAACTTGTGTTTTGCATGTACATTTGTTTAAAAAATCTGGCATATTTGAATGCAGACTGTTAGTTCCTTTCCTCCCAAACAGATGACGCTGACCCTTGAAGGTAAAGTAAAAAAGTAACTTTTCCACTGCTTTAGGAGTATTAGGAATAATGGGTTAGATCTATATTTTTAAAGACAAATCGGCATTTGGTGGGTGATGTGGTCAGCATCATGCTGGCCGCCTTTACTTTCCAGGACTGGTACCACTCCTGGTTATGACTGACTTTTTACAGACACACAAGCTGATGCGTGTCGTAGCAAAGTCAGGCCAAGTGGGGGGTAAAACAGTAGGAACTTCAATGCTTTTCAATGTTAGAAACAACGAATGCTCGTAGTTAGGTTTCAAATGGTGTATTGATATATTTACACTCAATCAAAGATGGAGAAAATATGCAATTATAAATCAGACTCATCAAACACACCCACACAAGAAACCGCTCGACGTCAGCTGACATATTACAAATGACGGGTCACAGTCCGACCTTGGAGATCCCTACAGTCATCTCAATCTTCTCTCTCGCGGCTTGAACAAGGTAAGATAAGTATACCGGCTTACTGCCGAACGAAGTATGCACTATACCAGCTTTCTGCTGAGGATTAAAGTGGAGTCCCAGGGTAGAGCGTCCTCAAGGATCCAGCTTCATACAATGACTGCTTTCAGTGGCATCCCGAGGTATAACGTCCTCAGGGATCCACACATCTGTCCCCTTCAGACTGTAAACATCCAATGCCTTTGACAACAATACCATAACGATATAATGTTTTGTTTTGACATCTTATTTGCTCACTCAGTACCGGTGCATTCTAGTGCACATCCGCACGCGACACTGACCTTGAAGGAAACACCCCTAATTAGTCAACTTGTATGACATGATTGTTGGGGAGCAGTAGGTCTAATCCTTTTTCCCCACAAAAATGGGAGATGTGAAACCCCATCTTTTCTTCCCAGATATTGCTTGGTACTCAGTTTAACCTTTGTTGACATGGGAACTGATCTAATAGAATAATTCATTTATCCAGTGGGCCAGTTTGTAAGAAGGATCCTTGACTTTTATATTTCATTTCGAAACCGGGCAGTTCCCGGGGTTCACCCAGTCTCTAGGAAATGGGTACCAGAGTTGACTCTCATGGGGTAAATGGAGGAACGTCGCTGTAGCTACAGAGTTACGTGCGGATGGTGACACAGGAGGACAATTTCTTATCAGCTGTCTGTACTGGTGGCAGAGCACTTATGGTTTATAACCCTGGTTCACATCTCCCGACTTTACTTTTTTTTTTAATCATTAACCCTGTCACCTTGAGAAAGGACTTTTCCTGCACTTTTTGATGACATCAAGTCTTTGAGCAGAGGTCACTACTTCAGTATAACAGCTTTGGTACTGGTTGTAGCTGCATAGTGTCTAGATATGGTTGGCATATCACTATACATCATCATCATTATCAAGTGACTTACCAGCTGGTGTAGGCCTTCATGCATCTCCACAGATCTTCACTATATATACCCAAAGAAAACAGTTATGAGATTTTATGAGGTGAAACAGAATTGTGACATCATTGTTGTGAAAAAGAATTGTGACATCATTGTTGTGAAAAAGAATTAGGACATTATTGTTGTGAAAAAGAATTGTGACATCATTGTTGTGAAAAAGAATTGTGACATCATGTTGTGAAAAAGAATTAGGACATTATTGTTGTGAAAAAGAATTAGGACATCATTGTTGTGAAAAAGAATTGTCCTCACATCATTGTTATGTCATTATAATCTCATATTGATGTCCATTTTCTCTTTGTGGTAAAGTTAACAAAGCCACTCATTTTATGGTCAAAAGTAAAGAACAGTTAATTCTTTCCTGCCTTTGTATTTAGAGATTTTTATTTTAAAAATGTTAAAAGTATCCAAAAACCATGAGTTGTAAATCCTGTGGCTCGGTACTATGGATGTTGCAACCCTTTGGCCTTGATTCCACAACAGATACTGTGAATCTGGGAGTAATTTAGCTTTTCTGCCTCCCTCAGGGTGGGGGGGGGGGGGGAACCTAGACTGCAAGGAGTTAGTCACCCTGTCACCGTGCAGAGGGTTTTTACCAGCTGAGCTAGCGATGATGATGATGTATAGTGATCAATTCACTTGCTTCAAACAAAAATGGTTTTACTCGAAAAAGTAAAAAAAAGCATTATTATGACAAAATTAAGTGATGTGCTGGTATAGCTGTGAACTTGACACTTGACAGTCTGTCCAACAGTCTGGGCGTTCAACCCCCCTGGATGTTTATAAAAATTTACCAAGCTCCAAAATTTTTTTCTGCTTTTTCTTCTCTTCCTCTAGTTTTTTTTTTTTTTAGTTTCAGAAAATTATAAATTTGTGTTTTGTTTTAACAAAATTTTTTAAAAGTTCATTTGTTTTAAAGATACTTTTGGGGTCCAAGGGTTTATTTCCAGCAGACGTGGTCTAATTCATTGAGAGAATGCTACTGAGTTTTAGCCCAAACCTATTTAAGGATACTTAGCAGAGTTATGAGCTGGTTATCTTCACAGCACTCCAGACACATTCAGAGGTGCTCAGATTCCCTCTCAGCACATTCATAAGTTTTCAGTGGCTAATAGTACCAGTTCTGTGATGGTTGATAAGATCTCTCATACCTCTGGTACACATCTCAGGTCTTCCTGTGGTGATCTTTGCTCTAAAATCTATCATTCTATGCAGTGTTGCAGGTACACTGTTCCCAGAGTCAAACAGTTGCCCCCCCCCCCCCCCCCCCCCCCCCCCCCCCCCCCTTTCCCCCCAATGATCTGTCAACATACAAGTGATCTGTTTGAACATCTTAAAACTCTCAAACACACCTGAAGCAGAGAAAATGTTCTTTATATTATTTTATACCTTTAAGATTCTTTAAATTTATTGACTCAAAACTATAACTCACAGTCAGATTCTGTATTGTATATATTATTTGACATCTCAAAACTATTTGAATATTTTTGAAACTTCTTTAGCCCCTCCCTCCAAACAGCTACCCACCCTTTCCCTTATATATACACACAGACACACACACACACACACACACACACATGCACACACACACACACACACACACACACACACACACACACACACACACACACACACACACACACACACACAACTACAGAATCAGAATGTCTGTGTGTTGTTTCTTTTGTTGTTTTTTCAAAATGCATTTCATATCTCTTAAATTGTTTACACTTTATAATAGATACTGTTTTTTACGTATAATGTTTTAACATTGAACAATTTCCAGAAAGGAAGTGGCTACCACTTGGACATGTTTGTTGTCGCCATCTGTATTGCAATCTGCTCTGTCATGGGTCTGCCATGGTATGTTGCTGCTACAGTTTCAGCCATTGCCCACATCATGAGTTTGAGGAAGGAGTCAGACTGCACAGCGCCAGGAGAAAGACCTACTTTTCTTGGAGTCAGGTGAGAAATTATACTCTTTATACTACCAGTTTTACCCAGTCTTAAGTGTTTCAGTCCCAGGGAGTTTAGCATCAGAGGCTCAAGGGGTGGTGATTAGAGATGTAAAACTGAGACATCTTGAATTCCACTGGCTTCATAGGAAACTATGAACTATGATGCGTTTCTTGAGACTGAAAGAGTTGGATAGGCAGTAGGATCACCTCTTGGGAAGTAAAGACAACTGGCATGATTGTCTCTCACATCCCTTATCAAGTACCAATTGGTCCATTTAAAAAAAAAAAAAATAATAAGACTGGCATAAAGTGCCCAAATTGGCAAATCACAGGAAAACGGTCCTTTACTTTAGGTTTTTTTTTTTTCTATTTTTAACTACGAGTAGTCAGATTCTTAAGGTATAGCTGTCATAGAGAAAGTCCCGTTAGTCTCCTGGTCTGTTTGCCTGCAGAGCTTGCTGAGCATGCCCACAAACTTCTGTGTAATTGTTTTATGGAACCATCTGTGTAGTCCATAGCATTGACAACAACAGGATTCTGATCCTGACATATCAAATGTGACAAAAACATGAGAAGATGCAGCTGAGTTCTGAGGCACAGGTATTCACATTCTGAAATGTGTGTCACTCTTTGTATTGAAATGTCTGACATTTATTCTTCTATTTTTACACAGAGAACAACGAGTAACTGCACTGATGGTTGGCATTCTGAGTGGTGCTTCCGTTTTGTTTACCACTGTACTTCAGGTATGATTGCTGCTAAAACCCAATTGATTTTAAGTGGCTCATTCATCATTATCATCACAGCCATCTGGAAAACATCCTTGTTTTGCTATTTTGTACTTTCATGTCCAGTATGTTTCCAATATCCTGTGTGAGTCTTTATGCTGGCCTGTTTCTACCTATTTTGTAATGCTGATTTGAACCAAAGACCTTAGGGACAGCTAGTGAGCATCTAGCCATTAGGCTACTGAAGCTCCCGTAATAGTGTTGCTTTGCTATAAATATAGTTCTCTAAGTAAATGTATGCATAGTATACTTTAGCTACTCTCTCAAATATACAGTTCTCTAAGTAAAAGTATTTAAAATAGTAATGTTGCTTTTTTCTTCCAATTTTAATTCTCTAAATAAATTATGTATAATATACTTTTGCTATGTTGTTCTAAATAGTTCTCTAAGTAAATGTGTTTATGACATACATTTCAATTTTTTTGTCCTGAATACAGTTTATCCCACTGGCAGTCTTGTACGGTGTGTTTTTGTATATGGGTGTGGCAGCTCTGAAAGGCATGCAGGTAAGTCTCTTAGCACAATAATTAACTGTTTCATTGCTAAACAACTCATTTCCCTTTTGCTGATTGCTCTTAACATTTATTTATAACTTCTGCTGTCCATTTCATCTATTACATTAACTTATTATGATCTTCTCCTTCTTCTTCTCTTCCACCTTGTACCTCATCGAAGTGTTGGGGGGAGATGTAATGTTCGTTGATGAGCTCTGTCAAGAGCACTATTAAGACTGATGTTCATTTCTGTAAAGCTGTTCTTAATGCCATCACTCCATCTTTTCCGAGGTCTTCCACTCGCTCTATACCCGTTGTAACATTTTAGTGTGGCTCGTTGTGGCAGATAGTACCAGGGCATTCTTGTTAGGTGTCCAAACCACTTCATTTGTTGTTCTTTGATGACCTGTAAGACTGGCTTTATTCCTAGCATTCGTCTGATTTCATGATTTCGTATTCTGTCTTTCCTTGAAACTCCTGCAGCTCTTCTAAGGCATTTCATCTCTGTTGTCACAATTTTACGTTCATTGTAGGATGTAAGTGTCCACATTTGTCATTGATAGCAAAGTGTTGGCCAAAAAATAGTTCTGATAAGTACTATGATCTACTTGTAGTTATTATTAGTTCAGTCCTATCTTCTTCTTCATTCTTCATTCATTCGCTTGAAATAAATTATCTATATCTGCAGTGTTGTCTCTAGTATGAACTTCACTGTCTTTTGTAATTCACTCAGTGACCCGTGAAGTTTGACTTGCACCAATGTTTATCTTCTTGGCCAAAAGTTTTGCCTTGATATGTTGTATTTGAGACAGTCTTGGAGGACATGATCTGTTGTCTCAGGTGCCAATCCACATGTTCACATGGCAGATTCATCGATTTTAAATTTTGTGTTCATGTGGCTGCGAAGTCGATTGTGTCCTGTTCCAAGGTGTAGAATAATAACTTGCTTTGATAATCGTTTTGGTGGCTTTCTGATTGACTTGATTATTCTCTTCTTTTGCTGATAAGAGACTGGTACGTCAGGTTGTTCTTCATCTGCACCTTTTCTTAGCTAGTTTATCAGCTTTTTCATTTCCGGAAACCCCACAGTGGGATGGTATCCATTGCTTAGTTACCTTACACAGACTGCCTAGTTTGGAGAATAGTGTTCGTGTACCAAGTAGTTTTCCAGATTAAGTGCCTGAAGCACCGCTGTTGCATCAGTCCTATGGCTGTGTAGACTCAAAGATAGTGGGGTCTGTATGGTGAAGTGATCAAGCTGTTTACCCCACATTCTGAAGATTATGAGTTTGTTTTACTGCTTCATTTGGTTCATTGTGCTATTTTTGCATAGATCCCTGGGGATCATCATTGGAGCTGTGGAGTTTGTGCTTTGTGCAGTGTTCATGCTAGGCAGCTAGCTGTTCAATAGAGAGAGATCAAGCCACATGGGAAACTATCTGCTACAATTAAATCGATGCACTCACCATCAACCTCAGCTCAACCCCATGTGGGTTCATGACCCTATTTTGGAGGAAAAAGAATACCCCCCGCCCCTCCAGCAATTATGTCATAGAAAGTGATTAATTAGAGATTTGCTGAAGAATTGTTCATTTGAAAGTGGTTTTATTATGATAGCCTGAAAAAAACATAAAAGGTTTGGTAGAATTAAACATGGCATTCATTTCGAATGAATTATACGCCATGAGATCATCAGAAAAAGTCAACCTAGACATGCAGGAAGACATTCCATTGCTTAAATAGGTATAACAAATACCATCACAGGAAGGGTTTGTGGTTGCTCACCAAACCACATGTTTACAGCATTCATTACATCTGCATATATGTATGAAATTGTTGCTCCTTGAGAGCTTTATTAGAGATCCAAACATATGAAAATCACTGAACTGTATGCTGGATGTTGAAGAATTTCCAACTTCTTCCATGTTAGTACTTCCTGCAAATCTTTGCAACATGCTGCATCGATTTTGGCATCAGTTTTTTTTTTTTTTTTTCTGTTGCAATTCACTCACATCCCTTCTGAAAACCTTCATCCCCAGTCAGACATTTGTTATCGTACACTGCCTGCATACTTTTGTGAATATCCACTGGTAAACATTCTTCAAATGAAAGAAATTGTATCACTGCTCTTTGAGCAGGGTCCTAATGGAGCAATGATGCGCAATACAAGACTCTTATTAATGTCTATTAGACTCTCTTGCTAAAGTCTACCTCATCTTCATGTGGTGGACCCTGTTCTTCCCAGCAATCAGTTGAAAGTTGGGGTCTCAACCCCCAGCTGGAAATTGGATGGGACAACAAACGAGGTAAAGGTGAATGACGAAGGGATGAGCCTACTCTCCTCGAGTATGACCACAGTCTACCCTTGCAAAACAAGGTGCTGAAGTCAGAGGCAACCAGCCAGAAGGCGCACCACAGCAAACAGGATGCCAAGCACACATGCCATGGAAATATAGGCCAACGAAAGAAGAAGAAGACTGCTCTTTGAGTTTCTTTGGATGAAATTTGAATCAACCAGGTCCATTCCTAAATGGTCAAAAACAGAACCTCTGCAACATGGGACGATAAGTTTGTGCTGTTTTATTCATTGGTCAGCACTGATCATATTACTATCACATGATCATGCTCAATGCACACAGTTACATGTGGTGTGGCACAATTGGGTTTCAAAATTAATGCTCCTTTTATATAGACTATTTATAATTTGCATCTTCCAATACTTGCTTTAAGTTTCCAAGCATGCATATTTAAATAAGCATTTACTTGTATTTACTATGTATTTGTTGTCTTTGGGACAGTTTTACTGATATCAGTTTTCATGTCTATTTTCAGTTTATTGACAGACTTTTGCTAATGTTCAAGCCAGCCAAGTATCAACCAGATTATACTTATCTGCGACATGTGCCTATTAAGAGAGTGCATCTTTTCACTGTTATTCAAAGTTATCTGCCTTGTTGGTCTTTGGGTTATCAAATCCATCAAAGCTTTGTCTATTGTGTTTCCAATTATGGTAAATAATTTTGAAATTGCTTTAATTAAGTGGTTGAATCATTTTTTTTTCTGGATGCAGAGGTGCATCCTGTGGTGGTTTTTTACCCACCTAGGGTGGTTTTTTACTCACCTGTGGTAGTTTTTTTACACACCTGTGGTGTTTTTTTTACATGCCTGTGGTGGGTTTTTTACACACCTGTGGTGGTTTTTTTACACACCTGTGGTGGTTTTTTTTACAAGCCTGTGGTGGTTTTTTTAAAACGCCTGTGGTGGTTTTTTTTTTTTTTTTACACACCTGTGTGGGGGTTTTTTTACAAGCCTGTGGTGGTGTCCCAAGAAAGGGTTCAGGCTGGTCAAATCCTGATTACATTCCCTCAGAGGTCACCCTAGAAACATGTTCCCAACCAGCAGCCTGGCAAACATATATAGGATCAACACTGCATCTACCTGAGAGGCAAAGAACCAACAGTCTGCACACTAAGCCAGATCAGCACCACTGATGTGCATGCAACACTCAAGTCCTGGAACAAGACCAAAGTTCAGAAATGAATGAACAACCAGGTCTTTCCACAGGAGTTTACAGTCGTGAGAGGAAGAAGAACGTTAATTTTGTTGAACAATTAGGTCTAACGACTCATTTAAGATAGATGAAAACGAGAATAAATTGGGCAAACAATAATCTTAACTGACTTGGTGATGTCAAGATGTGGAGTCCTACACTTATTTAAACATTAAGATACACAATGATCAAGGAAAAGACAGAGTTATGAAGATGCAAATACAAAAGACAAGAGAAGCTTTTATAATATTAGGAAATCTGTGGGAGTCAAAGCAAAATTAAATTCAGTGGCACTTTTTGGAATAGTTTTTCTAACATCAAATTAATACTGCTGTACAAGATGGGGAAAAGACACTGGCATTTCTTAGGGCACACATTCAGAAAACCTGATAACAATATAATTAGAATGTCCTGTCATTGAAACCACAGGGACAAATAAATAAAGGGAGACAATGATAACAACAACAACAAAACATGGAAATGAGATGGTCTCGAGGCATGGTGTCTACCTCGAGTGCTAGAGGTTCCTGGTTCAATCCCCTGTAGGGGTGGGATTTTTTCACGTGGACTTGGACTTCTAGTAATTCCCCCTGGTCTCTGGGTAGTGAGATCAGACGCCTGTGTGCATTGTTGTGCATGTAAAAAATCCCTTGGCAGTTGGAAGTCAAAAAGAGTAGCCTAACGGTGCTGCCCAGTTAAAAATCTACCCAAAGAATTTCAGGATCCTTGCTGGTGCTACAGAGCCTGTGCACTGTGCTGATCTTCTTCAGACTTAGACTTGAGTTAGAAGAAGAATGGAGCACTTATGGGTGACTACTTATGTGTTCTCAGAGTGTGCACAGTAAAACACCATCATCTTTATCTTATAACTGTTTGGTACCAATGGTTGTTCAGATATCTCTTATTTCTTTAATCATATTTTAATACAAATTTCAGGTGCTGTTAACATGTTTCGTTCGAAAAGCCTTAGACTACATCTTTACCCAGAGGGAGCTGAAGTGGCTGGATGATCTGATGCCTGAAGCTACCAAGAAAGCTAAGGAGGATGAGAGGAAGAAATCCATGGCTGCAATGGAAATGGATGATGAAGAAGAAGAGGTGACACTTCTGAGCATTCGGACAAAAGATGAGGTTACAATTTTGAGTATTAATAGGACAGATAATTTTTCTAAAGTACAGAAATTCAAGTTTTCTGCAGAACAATAATCTGTATTAAAAAAAAAACAATATAAAGTCTTTTTTTAAGTTGATGTTAACTCTTCTTCTTTATTCTTTTATCCTACTGCTCATGCTGCAAAGCATCACAGAGAGTAATTATATGTAGTTTTCTGTATTTGGATAGTAACATAGCTTGTGTTAATGTCATATTGTGTTTCCGTAGTGTCTCTTTTACTCCCTCCACCAATCTCTTTCTTGGTCAGCCTCTCGCCTTGTAGGCTGCTGTTCTTATCTAGTATGCCCTAACTGCTGACTGATTTTGTTATCATTCTGACTGGATAACCAAACCATAGCATTCTTTGATGTTCTGTGAAATCATTCACGGGTAATGACGGGTAATGTGCCTACTATTGTTCTTAGTTCTTTATTGGTGACTCTGCCACTTCATGTTTTTTCCGCTGCTTTTCTTATACATCTCATCTCACATGTTGTAACTTGCTGTTAACACTACTAGTTACAAAAATTCACCTTGCATTTGATAGCTTTTATTTATATTTTGTAATTTTCTTACCTCACTGTGCCCAGTCCAGTTATATTAACCTTATCTGTGAAAGCAGTGGCAAATACTAAATTTAAAATTTAAACCAAAACTGCACAAAAATGATGGGGTTGATTTTTCAGCCTGTAAAGAATACAGTCACATTTTTTCGTTGTCCTATTTGTTACTTTATAAATCTTCTGCCTGATAATGTATGGACTATAGGCTTGAAATGTTTTTAGTTAAGGTAAGAACCTCTTAGGTTATCATGAGTTACAGTAACACCTGTCTGGAAGTCTTCTTCCATTTTTGTTGTCTCATTAATACTAGGTTGTGTAGCCCAGAGTGGTTGTTTTCCCTATAATTCACTCTCTTGTGTAGTATAAATAAACTACACTACCGGCTTGCTATGCCTGTCACGCGCCAGGCAGAAAAATCTGACATAGTTAATGCCCCCCTCCTCCCAGCCTGCAAGCCCTATGTGACAAATAATGGCATAAATGGATGATGATGATGATGATGATGACAATGATGAAATGCTTCTTCTTTCAAAACATGAATTAAAGTAACAACTTACATGTTTTGTATGCAGATTATTTGCATATATTTTTTCTCATGCTTCATAGAAAAAACATGTATTATATAGCAGGTCCTTTGCATTACCATCTGCCTAAAAGAAACGTGGTCTCTTGCCAGTTCTCCACCTCATGCACTTTCATACTTAGTGCCATAAGTTTTTTGGGGGGATAATAGTGTGGAAGTTTCCCCTTGCTTTCCACAATCAACATGGTTTGAGACTATGTCCTCAGCCTTCAGCAACACTTTTAAGGCAAGTGAGTGCCCTACTCTGTGATACTCCTGCTAACAGCAGAGGGCACCCCAGAGGTGTCCACTTGTTCTGGTGAATACTCTGTCACCATAGCTGCATTGGCTGCACTACAGTGTTTTTACCATCCTCTATTGGAAAACATCTAGAAAAATCAAGTAACTAGAATGTCCATACACTGGAACCCACAAAGTAAAAAAAATCAATTAGTTAGTTAGTTAGTTAGTCTTTCCTCTTGTGTCGAGTGCGGCACATAGGGCAGAGGTCATGACCCTCCATGCATGGCAGTTCGTTGCAATCTGTTGTAGGTCTTGGATGTTTGAGTGGCCCATGAGTGAGCCTTCCCTGATGATAGTTCTTCGTAGGGTTTCCCTTGGTCTTCGACGAGATCTTTTCCCCTGTGGTGTCCAAATGAGGGCTTAGTAAAATCAATGGGTGACCAAAATACACATGGGGAAACAGAATTAGAGGCAAGATCAGGCAGACAAGGAGTTAGATGGTAAAATACAGGACATCTTGGCACAAGCTGGTGAGTGCCTTTGCTCTGTACAGAGATAAGAACAATACAAGATAAGAAGTATGTGTTGTTTATTGAATGTACACAATATTTTGTTTCTTATTTTGTCTTTCTGTTTTCATTCTAATCTGTTTTCTTCACTTCTCTTGCCTTCTGTCTGGTTTTCTTGTCTGTTTGTTTTTTTGAAATATTAATAGTTATGTCTGTGCATTCCACAGGATGGAGTTCTGATAAGTGATTACACTAAGTTTATGGACATCAAACTTGGGGACAACAAGCTTCATACCAGGTATGGCAACAACAAATATTTAACTGTTTTATTTCATTCTCTGACTTTGACAAGGAGTTTTCATTACAAACAAAAATTTTACAACCTGGCACAACTTCATCTTCAGTCTTTTCCACCCTAGTTTTGAATTGCCACCTGAATATTTGTGCATGAGATAAACATTGATCGAGTTAACTCTTTCAGTACCAAACAACTCACCATGTGATAATAGGCATTGCCTAGCAAGCTTTTTTTGAGTGACATGTACCATATCCTGCTGTAGCTTTAACCCATCCTGTCCCAGCTATTACTTCTGTTCCTTGTGGTCTATAAAGTTATTATCTAAACCTCTTAAACATCATTTTAACCAATGACTGCATGAAAAATGACGGGTTAAAGAAACCCACATCTGGCACTGAAAAAGCTAACTTTTCTTGTCAACTCAACTGTCTCAGTGAAGCAACTTTCACTAATTGAACAAAATGGCTTGTTTTTTGTTATCAGCTAAACAGGCAGCTTTGCAAATTGGCCAAACCATGAGCAATGGGTAATGGTGCCTGTTTGGGTGACACATTTGGCTTTTTGGATGATGTTTTTTGTCTTGGCTATAATAAAATTAGTTTCATTTTTTTAGTGAATGAACTGTGTGTACATGTGTAATGACATCTATTCTTTCAATTACAAATTTCAGCTTTATTGTTTAAGTTAATAACCACTATATTAATTATATCTTTCTCCCATTTTTTTTTTTTTTCAACAGCAAAATAGCAAATGACGGGAACGGTGCTTTGAATGGAGACACCAGTAAAACAACCTTCTACATGGGTGAAGAAGAAGACAAAGCCTAACCTGTTTTGATATAAAGTTTTAATGTTATCTTTGCATTGTTATCCTTCTGACTGGGACCACTTCAAAATGTTACTGGATAACTGTTATACTGAAATGCCCTACCAATGTGATGAAATTTCCTTATTTACATGTTTTATTTTCTGTGACAATTTTTATAAACAAGATGTTCTTGTACATGTCTAGAGTTCTTTCATTTCTTACTTTATTTTATGGACTGTAAGACACTACTGACTATAAGACATGTCTACATTTTTTAAGTACAGCATCCTGTGCCAACAGCTTAGATATTTTTGCAGTGTTAAAACGTCTTGATGGCTTGGAGTGAACAGAGATAGAGTGAACAATTTCCAGAAAATGAAATAGAGTTAAACCTTCAAGAATGTGGATACAGGACATTGAAAATGCATTGGCTATTAAAGCACATAGGGCTGGAGAATTGGCTGGATTAAGAGAGACTTTCAGTCATGCCGTGAAGAGAGTGACATTCTGTAAAGGAAATGCTGACTGATGATGATGGTGATGATACTTCAAGCAGGTGCTGTCTACAGAGTAACGGTTGGCTGCAATGGATCTCCAAAATATTATCTCTTGTGTTGACTATACACTCTCTCAAACCTGATGTTTGTCCATCTCTTAAAGCTGTTCTCCTTTTTGTATCATTGTCTACATCTTGCTCTCGTACCTTTTCCCTGCAGTGTGGTTTTTAAGAGTGTTATGTCTTTTAATATGGCTGAAATACTTCATTTGTCTCTGTTTTATTTCTTTTAGCACTCTCATTCTCAGTCTCCTCAGAACATTTGTATTTGACTGTTATTGTTGTGAAATATGAACTATCCGTCTGTATATCAACATTCTCTATACATTGCATATGTTTCCTAAATTCATATGTCCCATGTGCTCTTACTTTAACTTATTTTATTGAACTTGGTATTTTAACACCTACTGTCCCATAGTTGTATTATTTCAACTCTTTTGGACTTTTAATCCTTTTGCACCAAGAAACTGAAAAAAAGACACTTCCAGTTGGGTCCAATCCCCTATAAATATCATTTTTTTCAACTTGCCTTTAGTGATCTGTTTATGAGATGGATAGTTAATATTATTGGTTGTTTTTATGCCTGCCCAATCATTTAGGAAGTCAAGATATGAATATATTAACTAACAATAGCACTAAAGGGTTTTTAATTTGCGCTAAATTGCTTTTTTTGTTGTTGTTATTTTTAAACCAAGTTATCAGATTCTCATTAGCCACAGTGATAGAGGTCATGGGGTCAGGGCTTGAGTCACCCCATACATGTGTTTTCACATCCCAAGGGATATATTTCCTTTCAAGCTTCATCCTGCATGTATTTATTGATCGTTATAAATTTAAAAAAAAAATTAGAACTGTAGATAGATAAATTTGTAACAAATTTAGTTGTACAAATTGTTGTTTAAACATATTTTTTTCTGGAATTCTATCCGGACATTTTATTTTTATTTTTAGACTTTTTGTGGCAAACGAGTTAGGACTGATGATTTAAGGGGCATGCATTCTGAGGTTGAGATCTATTGAGGCAACAATTGTCTGAGACCAAAAGAGCCAGACATTTATCATTTGTTTAGAAAATCATTTTTATAAAACATTTTTTAAACACTAGGTCATGCCAATGTACTAGGAAAGGAAGTAACAAGTTACATTAGTTTTTTTAAACAAGGTTTTTTCTAGGGAAAAAAGGTACTGGAACTCAACACAAAGTATCTAAAATGGTGCCAGTACTCACCACAAAGTGTCTAAAATGGTGCCAGTACTCACCGCAAAGTGTCATTAAAAGGTGTCATTACTCACCACAAAGTGTCTAAAATGGTGTCAGT